TTAAAAGATTTATGGTCTGATTTAATAATATTACAGTATGCAATATTACAAATCACCTGTAAATAATGTTTTGATTTCATCGGTAAATTTATTATAGTCGGTGCCTGTGTTTATTCAAGTGAATTAATTTGCTACGTGTGACACTCGCGTGAATAATAATAAATCGTAAATTCGCGCGTCACATATATATATATATCAAAACGTGTTTTATTATTCGATTTATTTTTTTTTTTTTTCATTTATTTGTACCTATACCTACGTCCTACGTAATAATATAATACATAATTTATTAGAAACCCATCATATTTGCTCGTATATTATATTATGTATATTGTGCGAGTAATCATTAATTTTAAAAAATGTGATATTTCACTAAGTCAACCTGTACTGATAAAAATGCATAATAGGTACCTATCTAACATTTTAACAATTAGTCTCAAATGCTTTTTCTACATTTTTCGTTGTCTGATACCTCAGTTCAATACCTTGATTATATACTGGCGCGGGTGAAAATATTATAATAGACATTTCTATAAGCAGAATATATTCGTGAGCGTTATTATCCAAGCTCCCCGGCGTAACTAGGGGAAGTTTAGTCCCTGTAAATTGGTTTATGATCCCCCCTTAAAAAAAAAAAACTGAATGACTAGGTAAGCAATGGATATTTTGGTGACCGAGGAAGGGAGAGGGTTCAATAGGCCCCGGTGATAAAATCCGTAAAAATCCTAATCCCCCCCCCCCCCTGTTGTTGGAAACTATATAATAACGATGTGTGATAAAATGGATCTTTTGCATGATCCAACGCTACTATAGATACTCGGGGAAAATATTATAACTATATTGGCAGTTCGTACTAAACGATACGTCCGATAACATCACGTATGATCACGTGTATTGGAATGTTGACCGCAAAAATTTAAATGTTAACAAGCTATAATCCGGCGGTTATCATAACCGTACACTTTCCGAAAAAGGTCTTCGTTCAACTCCGCACACTTCATACATTAATACCGTACCTGTCACTTTTTCGTCACCGAATTGTTATTTATCATATTTGGTTACGCGGGGTAAATATATTCCAAAACTCAAAGTATTATTATCATGTTAATTATTAATTGTTTACTATTTAATTTTACTTAATATTTTAATACTCAAGATATTATTATTACTTATATTACCTAATTAAAATATTAATATTCATAAATGATGAATTAAAACAATCCGCGCGAATTTCAATAAAAAAAGTTCAATTTTCGTTCAACAAATTTTTGGAGTATTATAATGGTGATTATTTTATCATGACAATATTTCGATAAGCTATTGATAAACACAAACAATCTCGAAAGTTTAATTTTTATGAATTTGTGATTTTAATTAATTGGAGTGTGCTTCTAAACGATAATCTGATTTTAAATAAATGTTTGCGTTATTGTTCGTACGACCGCCGAATTTTTAAGTGTCAATCATAAGTGTGCAGTTTTGAACGACGCCTGCTAAAATAATTTTACCTAGTAATATTAATAATATTAAACCCGGTGTGTAAGTAGAACTCGTGTCGTCATACAATTCTTTGTGCGATAATTATATTGGATGTGAGAAACGCGTACTGCCCGTTAATTTATATTGGTTTTTCTAAATATTTTCAATGTTCACGGCGACATGTTTATATTGTTTTCTGGATATCTTTTATTAATGTGGCTATACTATTCAAAATTATTTATCCACGATACTCTTATAAATGACATATAGCTACTGCAAAAAAAAATAAACAAATGAAAAAAAAATTGTGTAAAAAGCAAAACCACTGCAATGTTTGGTGGCTAATTTTTTTATATATTTATAATATTAATATACCTAATTGTTACTGATATATAAGTACTATACATTGTATTGAACTATATCACGTAAGTGTATTAAATATTAATAACAGTTTTAGGAAACTATAGATAAATAAATGTATTATATACCTATACAAAATATAAAAATAATTCTGCAGTTTGATGCACAGAAAGATCAATGTCAAAAATAAAAAAATGTATTGAAATTATGAACTTTACGTTGGATTTTCGAAAATTTATTATATTATACATTTATTTTTGTCAACTTCCAATTTTCAATTAATTTTTTTTTTTTTATATTTATCCTTCTTGTACCGAGTCACAGAATCAAGTATATAGTTAAAAAGTCCTGGGAGGGAAGGTCATTGGCTCAGAGTGCCACATTTCGATGAGGGGGTATCATAATCTGAAAAGACATCCTAATATAGTAATTTTATATTATTATTCATTAATTATTCTAACAATTAAATACATTGTATCATGATTATTTTGATTTTTAACGGATAATTAACTGATATATATAATTTTTATTGAAATATAAGCTTTTTTAAAAAAAAAAAAAAACATTAAATCCGTCGCAGTTTGTACTCAATCGATGCAGGACCTAAAATATTGTGTTTGAGACAGTGCTGTAATATATCTAGATACTTTTTTTATATCTTGTTTCTGTATCTAGATACTTTCTAAAAAAATGTATCTTAGATACAAAATATTGTGCATCTTAATGGAAGTATTTAAGATACAATTCTACTTTTTTTGGGTTAAAAAAAATAAAATATAAAATTCTATCAATTAATATAATGGTATATATATATAGTATGGTATATAGTGAATGAATATTGTGTATTGACAAGTGGTTAATACCCATTATTTATTTTATGTTTACCAATAATTAACCAATATTTTAATATTGTTATATATTATGTATAGCTTAAAATGATTGTATTATAACTTATAACATTACAAGAACAAAATCATATTTGAAAACTGACATAAAAATATAGATACAAATTATTTTATTATAAATTATGCACCCATTACTTGTTTTGTTTAATTTTGTAATTCTATATTTTTGACGAACTAAGTAGGTTTTTAATAAAAAAATTATCTGTTTTCTTAAATGTATCTTAAAATCTATCTTATGGTACTCTTAAGATTCTTGTATCTGTGTCTAGATACTTTTTTAAGTAGAGTATCTGTGTCTATATCTGGATATTAACTTAAAATATCTTATTATAGCATTGGTTTTAGAGCACAAACTGTATTGTACAACATGTAAAATGTGCGGAAAGTCCAATGCTACAACCTTATATCTAATCTTTAGGTGATCAACGTAATGTGAGACACATTATCTCGTAAAATAATATGTTATAACAATTTTTGTAACCAAATTATTTTTTAGAAAATTTTAGAGGAGAGTATCTCTACAATGTTAAATTAGTGTTATTTTTTGTGAACCTTATGTGTGAGAATGAAACCACTCCCACTTTTCGAATAGCAACCGATATTGTAAATTCCATAAATACTTAGGTATATGAAATTTTAGTTTAAATATACATTTTGATGTTGACATTTTTAATTTCCGTTAACCCATTGTCACGATATTCCACTTTTAAGTTTGAGTTGATGGAGTTTAGTGAAGTATCATTTGTATGGCGACGTGGCGCCCGGCGTTTGCTCATAATTTTCGCTATTTTTTCTTTTTTGACAATATACCTAATAAAAATATAATAATTTTGGTAATTACACACGAAACTGTATACAAAAACTTGTAAAACTATTTGTTATTGTATTTGAACGTTTGCATTTTTTTTAAAACTCAAATTAAAATATTGCCTATAAATACCTATATATACCCCTTAAATAATAGTCACGTGACGTCGCCGTCGAGGCCGGTAAGGGCAAGGGAATTCGGGATAATGTGCTCGCGTTGCACAAATTCATTTTCATTATTATTATTACTATACTTATTGATCGGATAATACGCGGTTGTTTTGTCATTGTTACATATTTGCGTATGAATCGTTAGGGGACTGTACTAAAAAAAAAAATTAAAATTACCTAACCGTATACTGTAGGTAGCTACGGTTTAACGCCTTATCGTACCTAATGGACCGCGTTTCATGGTATTGTGCTGATGATTGTAATTCGAGTGACTTTATAAAGTCATGTTCGAGTGAATACGTTTTTGCTTATCCATCTGGAATTTTCGCACATATTATAACATAATAACTGTTAAACAAGCGCAGTAAAATAGAGACATGAGGCAAATTTTTTAATATTATTATTTTTATTCGGTGTTTGTTTCACCTACCTACTCGATTTTAGAATTACAGGAACGTCAGTCATTTTATCTAAAACATTTTTCTATAAATTCCCAAAAAATGTTCTAAAAAGATTGTTGAAAATCGACAAAAAACAACGATACGGGTGTTTTGGACACAATCTGTAGCACGCAGCTGTGTTGTGAAATGTTAAATCTACGTATATATGTATATATATATATATATTGGATCCGAAAACATCTCGTCGAATCCAGATTTCTAATGACTAATTTCTATATAAAACAATTTCAAGGTCGATTTATATATAGGTCCATATTTATAGGACATATTTTACATATTACAAGGCCAATATCTATATAGTGGTGTGGTAAGCATAAGTTGAAATGGGCTCGCGGTCAATAAATTCCAAACACAGTTTATATGTAACCAATTACATACCTATAATGAATACATACATAATATTAGGGTTTCTTAAATCTAGATCGTTTCAAGACTTAATCAGTTAAAGAAACTAAGTGGGATCAAAATGAGGTACTGGCTCAAAAGTGATAAAAATATCTGGGTTTGCTTTCTGTTACTCAGCTGGGGATATAATACCTCCAAGCCATTCTTAAAATTATGTCCATCTTTTTAGTACCTAGATTATGCCATACAATTGGTTGAGGCTTGAAATTCTAACCATACCCGCCTCCTTTGAACACGCTATACTTATGCACACACCACCCTGTGGCTTATAAACAACCCCAGTAGCCACCCGAACACAATTATTGTATTGGGTAGGTATTAATATACCAACATACGCAACCCGTAGCGAACGTCTCGCCGCAAATACATAACGACATGGAAGAAAATATCTTGCGCTATAAATTGTTCCATGATAAGTGTACAACAACAAAAACAACAATAACATCAATAAAATAACGAACAACAGTCATCAATAATATAAATAATAACAATTATAATAATAATTAACAACTTGCAATTATGTTCAAAACATAATTTTATTTGACGGGCACCAGAGATCAGAGTATACATTCATTGTTCACAAGAGGCCAACTCTTTGACGGTAACCCCGTACATCGCATCACGTTTGCATCACGTACCGGCAACACGATAAAGTAGCTGCAACTTGCTGTGGTGCACTCGCGAATACAATCAAATCGGTTGTTCGTGATCAATAACAACGTTGCCGTTCTATTGTGTGTACGCGTGTCGCCGTAGACATCTGTCCACCTGCCGGCGCGTGTCATTCATTCCCAACGAAGCTTCTGAAATCGTCTCACACCTACAATGTCCAGTGATTCGATTAAAACTGTAAGTAATGATTTAGTATCGAATTTTTTGTAGACGCATCCACCCCCCCTCCCAACTTATATACTTGTGTATTTTAAATTTGGATTTCCATTGATGGATGTTTTTTTTTTTTTCAAAATATATTGTTTTTTGACAAATCACGTAGACACGTAACGAGCGTTATCGACGAATGAATATATTAATCAATTTAGATAGGTAACTGACATCGTCGGAAGGTACTTGAAAAAAGTCATCTTTCGTGATCTTTTTATTTTCTTTAAAAATTGATATAAATTTACAACTGCTCTATCCACTCGGGATTTTTTATTTCATTATTTATTGTTGTCTTGAGTATTTAAGCAACATTTAATTAAAATCAACCAGCACTGGATCTGAGGGAAGGATGAGCAAATTATACCTAACGAGTGTCCAAAAAAAAAAAATAAAAGAAATTTCTTATTGGTAGCTAATTTCTATGGGCACTAATAATATGTTTATCCCCCGGGTGTCATAATTTGAAATTCTAGCACTAGGTAATTAAAATTGTCATACTTGTCAGTGGTGCTGAAATAGATTCCCAAGTATAGTGGTTGTCATAGTGAATATAATAGGAGAGTATTATAAGATGTTGTAAAAAGTTGACTACACTAGATAGTTAATATTTAAGAATAAAAAGCAAATATTGAAATACATACCTATTTATTTCAAAGATAGCAATCAAATTTAATTAATATATCTATACTATATATATTTATTTACTAGTACAAAACTGCAGCTGAGGTATTTAAGTCCTAAATAAATTTGTTACTCCCCAAAATTATTTTTTTAGCTTGATGCATTTGTTACTCGTAATGCCAATAATATTAGCCTTTATTTTCTGTCTATTAATGTTTTTTATTTTTTATAATTCATATTTATCATCAACAGTTTAACAACGTAGAATCACCTGGATTCGTTGGTTTTGCCAACTTGCCGAATCAGGTGCATCGGAAATCCGTGAAGAAAGGATTCGAGTTCACGCTTATGGTTGTCGGAGAGTCTGGCTTAGGAAAATCCACACTAGTCAACAGTCTTTTCTTGACAGACTTATATCCTGAACGCACAATTGCTGATGCCATTGGTACAGTGTACTTAACATAATTCTGTACTGATAAGGTTAAATTGTACTTTGTTTGCTGAACTATGTATTTACTACCTTTTGTAGCAAAAACCAAACAAACCGTAAAATTAGATGCGTCTACTGTAGAAATTGAAGAACGTGGGGTGAAATTACGACTTACAGTTGTAGATACTCCTGGATTCGGTGACGCTATTGACAACTCGGATAGGTATACAATATATACGCACTCAATATGATAGTAATAAATTACTTTCATTTTTAATATCTAACTAACCATTTTTTGAAAAACAATTTTAGTTTCCGAGCTATTATTCAATATATAGATGAACAGTATGAACGATTCTTAAAAGATGAAAGCGGTTTAAACAGACGACACATTATTGATAACCGTGTCCATTGTTGTTTCTATTTTGTTTCTCCGTTTGGCCATGGGTAAGTTAGTCTTAATCTTAATTTATTAATCAAATCAAAGGTCATACTTGATAATAAAATACAATTTATTATTACTTTACATTACTTTACTTTAACAAAAAATTAACCATTAAACACAAATAAATTGAAAAAATCCACAAAAAAATATTATAATAGTTTTTGTTCATTATACAGTATTAATTATTATTATAACATATTTTAATTAATGTATCAAATTAGTATGTATTCATATCAAATCATCTAAAATGGTAAATTTTACCTACCGATTGTAATAGATGCCTATTCTAAGTTATAATATTTCGCGATACAGCTAGTACATTGTATGTACTTAGTTCATTTAATTTGTGCTACACTAGTGATAACAATTTAAAAAATTGAGTCATTGTTTCTTATGAAAAAATAATAAAACTATGATAGACCCCTAAGTAAATATATTTTGATGAAAATAAATAAAAAAAGAAGTCTTAAGTTATGAAAAATGAAAAAAAAAATAGAAAAGACAATTAATTTTTAATTTATAGACTGAAGCCATTGGATATTGAATTAATGAAAAAATTACACAACAAAGTAAACATAGTTCCTGTTATTGCTAAATCAGATGTTCTTACAAAAAAAGAAATACAGAAATTAAAGAAAAGAGTAAATATATTTATTTCTTTACTTGTTACATTTTAATAGATATATACAATGTTATTGAATTATAAACATAAAAACATAAAATATTTAGATTTTTAACGGAATACAAATCTTTTTACAGATTCTCGAAGAAATTGAAGCCAGTGGTATTAAGATTTATCCACTACCTGATTGTGATAGTGATGAAGATGAAGACTACAAAGAACAGGTCTTTTAAAAATATTCAATTGGTCAGTTTTGTTCTTCAAATGAAGAATTACAAATATTTTACAGGTAAAACAATTAAAAGAAGCAGTACCCTTTGCAGTATGTGGTGCAAATCAGTTATTAGAAGTAAGGGGTAAAAAAGTACGTGGGCGTTTCTATCCTTGGGGTGTTGTTGAAGTGGAAAATCCTGAACATTGTGACTTCATAAAATTACGTACTATGTTGATGTAAATATAAACTTCCATTAACTATAATTAACTATAAAATTGATGAATAGTATTCAAATACTCGTTTGTATGTTTTTAGCACACACATGCAAGATCTGCAAGAAGTAACACAAGAAGTACATTATGAAAATTATCGATCTGAACGTTTAGCAAAAGGAGTTCCTGTGCCGAAAAGAACAACGTATGTGTAATAAATTATTCTATTTATGTTTAATGTTTACAAGAATTTGTTACGATTTTCTATATTTGAATATAGATCTCTTCCTGAACATGAGAAAAATGTTGGCTCAGAAAAAGATAGAATGTTGCAGGAAAAAGAAGCTGAACTTAAACGAATGCAAGATGTTATTGCAAAGATGCAAGCTCAAATGCAACAACAAACGCCATAATTTCCATGTTATCCATATTTTTTTTACACAATTTTGTGTGGAAACAACAAATATCTTTATGATGCCATAATTCAAAACTATTAATTTATTCTACTAAATAGTGTAACTTAAATTATAAAAATTAATATTATCATTTTTACATTTTGAACTTTAAATAATTATTGATTTACAATTTAAATTATTAATTTATTTTACAATTAGCAACTAGTAATTTTACTACTAGTACAATGTTATTATGCAACTACTTTGAACCAAAAGGGGTTTTTAATTTCATCATTTATAAAAATAAACAATAGCTATCTGAATTTTGATCATAAAAACTAAGAACAGATCTGAACCTTTTCATTTTAATGCAAGCATTTATTAATATAATTAATCCATTTTATAAATTACCAGCAATTAGTTTTAATCATAAAATATTTTATTTAAATAAATTTGATTTAACCATTATACTTTATAAAGACGTACTTAATTTTAGATGGGGGCCCTATAATCTTTAATCTTTTTTTTATTATTATTATTAATAACAGGGAATGTAATTAATAAAGAAATCTAAATTTATAACAGTAATTAATTGTGCAATGAAGTGACTTGTAGTGTTTTCATTTTCTATGCATATCAAATATTATTTATGTTCTCATCAATTTTTTTTACGTGCTTATTTATTTGTGGTTAATTTGCCCAAAACTTTACTACAAGATATATTGTTAGTATATTATAATATTTATAATTGATATATACCTATTTATTAGGTATGTATGTGAAATATATTTTTAAATACAAATTCCTTTACTAATTTTTTTTTTTTTAATGATATATACTTTATATATTGTATAATATTCACTATACTTACAATTTTATACAAAATGTTCATATTTATCACATTATCCATAAAAAATATTATTTGCCTGTATTATATAAAATTATTTTGAATTATACTATTTTTATTTTTATATCTATATTTTAATACTAAAAATACATAAATTAGTTTATCAAATTGTTAAAAATCAAAATAATGTATTACAAAACAGCATTAAAAAATCAAATGTCTATTTATAAATTATATTTTTATATAATGTATGTTCAATTTTTTTTCAACATTGTATAATGTAAATGGTACATTATTTTTTACAAAAAAATATATAATTTCTACAGATTCTATTGACTTGTTTATACCCAACTGCTCAAGATTTCCTAGTATTTTACACATTCCTAACCCTTTACATATTTTTGTTTTTTTTTTTCTAATCTACTTGCAAAAGTGCATAATATATACATAGGCACATGGCACTTTTTGTTCTAGCATCATAAATAAAAATATATTGAAATGCTCAATGCCTTGATTTATTCAACGCCATTATCAGAATCTATTATCAAATCATTTTTTTTATGATCCATGAAATAGATATGATAATAAATATAGTGATAACGTTTTAAACAACAACATTGGGCACATGTGTCATGTGCTTTACTTATATTTAAAAATTAAAATAAAACTTGTTTTTTTTTTCATTTGAATTAAATCTATATTGCTTAAATATATATTAATATTTACTTACATATTATATGAATACCAACCAATTTCAACCATGAGATTTAATTACAAGGTATATTAAAATTGTATAATATATCTAATTTATTGAATTATAATTTTAATTATTGTTTAGTTTTCAAACATTCTTGGAACGGTTTATCGTAAAGGAAATTTGAATTTCACCCCAGATGGAAATAGTGTTATAAGTCCAGTGGGCAATCGGATATCAAAATATGATCTGAAGAAGTATTCTTTCATCAATTTATTGAGTTCCGAGAATAATTGTTTAACTTCTATCTTTTTTTAATAATTTAGTAATACATCGTGTACACTGCCAGTGGAAAGCTCACACAATTATGAACAAATAGCCATTTCACCAGACGGCAGTCTATTATTTGCTGTCAATGAAGGTTTGTACATATTTCTACCAAATTTTATAAAAACAAATAGGTAATTCAGATTTTAATTTTACTCTTGTACCCCTAGTTGGAGAAGCGGACTTGATAAGTTTAATAAGCAATAAAGTCATACATAAGTACCGGTTCAATAATAAAGTACATCATCTGAGTTTTAGTCCTGATGGAAAACATATTGCAGCTTGTAAGCTTAATAAAAGTATGTACCTCACTCACATTCTAATTCATTAATTCTGTTTACAAATTTAAAATCATTACGAGTGTATTGTTAGTTTTCATATTGCAAACACCTGGCCACTTTCTTGGGCAGTTTAATCAATTTGCTTTGGAAAGAGTTTTCAGTGATATTCTAGGAGATACTACGTTTGTTGCATGGACTGATGATTCTAGGTAAATAAAGTAGTACCCATACATTTGTATTTAGGAGTACACGGAGTACACATACTATATATAATGCTTACTATAAATTCTATCAACATTTCAGTATTTTTGCAGTAGGCAGTAAAGATGCTACAATGAGACTATACACATTAGGAAATTATTCAAATTTCCGTCCATATTCACTAACTGGACATTCTGATTCTATTATCGGAATATTTTTTGAAGCAAATTCTTTAGACTTGATGGCTGTTAGCCGGTATGTTTTAGACCAACCATGTTATAAAGTAATCTAACATTGTTTAATGTCCACTTTAGAAATGGTCATTTAACTGTTTGGCAGTGTTCACTAAGCTTAAACGAAATGATTACAGTTGAAAATATTGATAAAAAACGATTAAAGTTAAATGATGACGATGAAGATGATATTGATATGTCTAAAGGAGAAGACAGAGAACGTTACTTAACCGACAAAGAAGGTATTTGATAAATTTAAATGGCCTGTTAAAAAAGTACTTTTAATTATGTTTTGTTTATTGTTTTAGAAAAAAACAATATAAAAACATTACCCAAGGATAGTACAAATTTGTTAAGCTATCGTAAATTGTCAAGACATTTTCTCAATGACCACTTAAAGGAAGAACATAGCAATTTAAAAATGACTGCAGCTGATTATCATAAAAAAGTCAAAATACTGGTTACTGGTTTCTCAAACGGATCATTTTTAATTTTTGAAATGGTCGGAATATCACTTATTCACTCTTTAAAGTAAAGTTCTCTTTAGTATAAATTTATTCCTTATGTTATATTGTATTGCTTAATATTATATATTTTATTAGTATTTCAGACACCAGTATTAGTACCATAGTATTAAATAATACCGGCGATTGGCTTGCAATAGGCTGTGAAGGGCATGGTCAATTATTAGTTTGGGAATGGCAGAGTGAAACCTATGTTATGAAACAACAAGCCCATGGTTCTGAAATATCTAGTTTAACATATTCTTCCGATTCTGTATATATTGCCACTGGTGGTGAAGATGGAAAAGTATTTTAAATTTTTAAAGAAGTCAATCTTTGACAATCTATTATATCAAGTACTTGTTTGTCTCAACTGAATGTCCTATAAACTAACTTTGGTACCCTTAAAGATATTTAAATTGTTAAAATTGATCACAACATATTGTACCTTATGAACACTAAGTAGTATTGTTGCTTAATATCTATCAGAATCATAAAAGTTGGTTTGTGGGTTATTAGAATTTCGAGTATTTTTAGTCTCTTGATCTAGATATCGGACTGGAAGTTAAGATTGGTTGGTCAAGATGGTTATCTTTAAATCTCAATGGCCGTATAAAGATAAATAGTTTCTCTGTACAATTTAAATTAAATATTATTTTTAATTATTATAATTTATAAACTTAATTGGAATTGAGAAAACAAGTACCACATATTATTTATAAATTCATATTCATACAATTTTAATTTTAGGTAAAAATGTGGAACAATCAATCAGGATTTTGCTTTGTTACATTTAAGGAACACACGAGTACAGTTACAGACGTAGTATTTGCACCCAATAATAAATTTGTTGTATCCTCATCACTGGATGGTACTGTTCGAGCTTTTGACTTAGCGAGGTTAACATTAATTGTCTGTAATAATAATTTTATTATTGTTAAACATTAAATTTTTTTCTTACATAGATATCGTAACTTCAAAACATTTGTGGCACTCCGGCCGGTGCAGTTCAGTTGTGTATCTATTGATTCTACTGGAGAATTTGTAGCTGCTGGTGGACAAGATGTATTTGAAGCATACCTATGGTCTATGAAAATTGGTAGATTACTAGAAGTAAGCATCATAAATTATTAAATTTAAAAAATAAATATTTATTTGGTGTTATCCCAGGTCTTGTCAGGACATGAAGGACCAATAGTAAGCTTAGCATTCAGTCCTATAACTTCTAGTAGTACATTAGTAACTGCTAGTTGGGATAAATCTTTACGTATTTGGAATGCTGTAGAAAATGCATCAGATCATGAAATCGTACAACTTTTTGCTGATGGTAATTATATTAATTAATAATTATAAAACATGTATTAATAGGACTATGTGTTTATATTATTTAGGTTTGTGTGTTGCATTTCGGCCTGATGGTAAAGAAATAGTTGTCGCTACATTGGATGGTCAATTATTGTTTTTTGATGTGCAAACTGCAACTCAAGTAGGAAGTATTGAAGGCAGAAATGACCTTGGAAGTGGTCGAAAAGATACAGATCTCGTCACAGCTAAAAAAAATCTTCAAGCAAAGTATTACAGTTTTCATATTTAAAAAAATAACTATTGTTTATTTTTTATTTAAAGTAATATTTATTTATTTTTTTTTTTTTTTCAGAGCATTTAACTCAGTTTGCTATTCAGCTGATGGACAATTTGTAATTGCTGGTGGCCAGTCGAAAAATGTTTGTATCTATAATGTTGCTCAAGGTATTTTATTAAAGAAATTTGAGATTACACAGAACCAATCATTTGATGCTGTTCTTGTGAGTAACAACAATTTATTTTACATAATTTTTATGAAATTGGTTGGTATCAAAATTATACATATTATAACGTATATTAAATATTAATAGGAAGTTATCAACCGCCGTAAAATGACAGAATTTGGTAACAAAGACCTAGTTGAAGAGCGGGAAACAAGAGAAGGAGGAAATGTTAGGCTTAAATTACCTGGTGTCCAAAAAGGCGATTTGGCTGCAAGAACTTTTAAACCAGAAGTTAATGTTTTTGATGTTAAGTTTTCTCCTACTGGTAATAATTTTTTTTTTCAAATTGAGATATTAAAAAATAAAATTAAAAATAAATTGTATTAGGTTTATCGTGGGCAGCTGCAACTACAGAAGGTATTTTGGTGTATTCACTCAATAGTGGATTTGTATTTGACCCCTTCCATTTGGAAATAGGAATAACACCAAAGAAAACAAGAGAGACCTTAAATAAAAAGGAATATGCATCAGGTGAGATGAATTTATAATTTCCTAAATTTTAAATTCTTATTCCAAACAAAATTAGTGCTTTATATTTTTCAACTAAAAGTTAATTTAATGCACACTAATTATACATAATACATAAGTGGTATTTTGTTTCTCTGAACATTTGGAAAAAATAAAAACAAATTTCTAAGATAAATTCTAAATTTTGTCCAATATTATTTTGTGAATAATTTAGTTGTTACATTCACGTTTAATACAATATAATACTGGTTAGTGTCTATTTTGTTCTTGCCAAATTGCATGATTTTCAAATCCATATAAATATACTTAATTGTAATCTATTATTTCCAGCTTTAATGATGGCATTACGGCTCAATGAACCAAAACTTACTTCTGAAATTTTAGAAAATATACCACCAAATGATAGTAAGTGTTTTAATGGTAATTCTTGAAAATAGTATTAAATTATATGTTTTTTTTAGTTGAATTAACTGTGGTTTCATTGCCTCAAATTTATGTAGAGAAAGTTTGTAAGCATATTGCGATCATCCTAATAACCACAATACACATTGAATTTTATGTTAAGTGGATTAAATGTCTGTTGAATTCTCATAAACCGCATAAGACTATAGTTTTAACACTACAATCAAATTTATCTAAAAGATATTCAGATTTATCTAAGGTGTAAGTATTTATTTATATGAAATAACAAAGGTTACATAATTAGTGTTAATAAAAACTATTATTTATTTTATTAACAATATTTAGTTAATAGATAATATATTTAAAATTGTAGTATACTTTTATTTTTAATAAATTGATTTGATTATGGTGAAAATTATTTAATAAAATAAAAATAAATTTAATATTTATGTATTTTGTTTTACAGATGTGATTATAACAAATATACACTCAAGGTTATAAAGAGGATAGCTAGTTTACAAATAAACAAATGTAAAGAAGAAGTGAAATCAGAATATGAACTGATGGAAGTAGATGAGAACAATGTAATTTCTATTCAATGACTATTAAAATGAATGTGCATATAAATCTTAATAAATTCTATATATGTAAGACATCATTATAGTTTGTTTATAAGTTTATCTTATATAAACTTGTTTTCAATTACCTAATCACAATTCATCGCTGTGATGTCTAATGACAGCCACTGTCCATGAAAATTAATTTTTTAATTTTTTAATTATCTATTTTTTTACAAATTATTATAAAAGTATTCACTGTTGTAATTTTTTTCACGTGTTTGCTATTTCGGAAAGCTTTTAATTTTTAAACAGCAACCTATCATAATTTTTTTTTTTTGTTAACAGAGTGTTTCATGTTTTATCAATTTTCTAACCTTGAATAATTATAATAATTAATAAATCGCTTGTTTTTGTTGAAGTTTGAAAATTTAAATTGAGAATTGCTATTTGTTCATTTGATACGATACTACTGGCTCAACAAATTGTGAAAAGGAATAAAAATACTATAAAATTATATACATTAATAATATAAGTAGTTGTAAAAATTGGAGGGTTTAAAATTTGAACATAATGACACTCTGTATTTTATATTATTAAATTAATTATAACCATTTTAAAGGTTATGTTAGGATAAAGCTCTGCATCATAGCATATAAAAAATAATGATAATAAGTTATCTTAAATTCCTGCTGTTTGACCCCAGTTAATATATAGTATAAAAACAGATAAATCATGCTTTTATTATGTTCGTATTTCGTTTTTTTCTGTTGTAATTTAGTAAAAAATATTTATAGAAACTTGAAATTTAGACAGACCATTTATATTTGCTTTTTATATGTGTAGTAAATTTTTGAGCTAATTAGAGATAATCAGCCATTTTTAATTTTACAAATTTTTTTTATAATTTTTATTTAGAAAGTACTCTGTGAATAAAATTGTTGGACTAAAATTGCTTGAAAAACAGGAGGTTCATTAATGCCAATTAATAACTATAAATTGTACTTGGGGGGGGCAACAAGAAAAAATTGAGTTTATGTAGTATTTTTTTATAAACATTTTTGTATTGAATTTGAACAATATTGTAAATATTTTTTTTCAAACCATGTATAACCAAACTTCGCTCTGAATCGGTTTTCCTTAACAAGATATAAATTAATTTCCACTCTATTTCTCACCTTCCTAACTTCACACCTACAACAGTGACCTATCGTGTGAAATCTTTTTAATTTTAATCCTTGTAAATGAGGTTAAAATAGTTAAATAGATTCAAGTAATATGAACTTAGGCTATATGGAATAGGTATACATAACATAGGACACTTTTTATCTTAGAAGGTATTTACTTTTTTTTGGAAATAAAACGCTACCCACTTTTGATCTTTAAATAGCAACCTATATTAAAATCATGTATATAGAAAGAGAAGGATGGTAAATGGAATTATTTTAAGGACTAAAATACTCTGGAACGGGAAACTTTGGGTACACATTAATTGGACCTAATCAGTTGGTTTTCGCAACCGTGCGATGTTAGTGATGTTTAAAAACAATATGAGAAATATTAAAAAAATATTCATGTAAGTACTAAGTACCTAAGTTTTAAATATTAAGTATATATTTACCCATAACTAATGTGACGTTAAAAATTAATATAGGACCTATAGCTCCTAGAACTAGAATTATGGTAGACTGAGTAACATGAACTAAAATTTTAGACATTCTTGGGTACCTTTACTATATAACTATAAAGTGGAACAGAAAGGATGCAGCATCGAATACAAGGAAAAGTGACAAAATGAACACACCCCTGGATCCGCCTATAATAGGGCGGTACATATTTTGCGTTTTCATTAAAATTTGACCTTTAAGAGTTCTTTAAAAAAAAATTACTACATTACGCTGAACTTGTTTTTTATTCCACTAATTGGAACTCATGATAAACCTTGTGTTAAATTTTTCAAACATTTTTCTGGGCTAAAACAATTTAAATTATATACCTAATAAAATTATAAAAAACTCGAAAATTCCAAAATTACTAAAAATGTTTTGAAAAGTTTACAATAATATATGGAAAGAGCTGTATATATAAGACTAAATCGATGTAAGTACTCAGTGAAATGTCAGTTCTCAACAATTATTTTTCACTGAATAAAGTGAACTAGAAATAAATAAACCTGGTTGAATTCAATAATTGCAAGGGACGCTATAATTGTTTTTTTAAGCCTTTTTATAGTTTTATTTGAGTCTCAATTATTTTATTTTTCTAATTATTCAAACACTGATATGGGTAGGTACTAATTACTATACTAAGGTAGGTACCACGATTTAAAATACCTTTAATCTTGGTAGGTACTTACCTAATTGATTATTATAGTGTGAGTGTCAAATATATTTTAATTTATTTTTATATAAACGTCTGTGTAGGTATTTTTTCTCTATTCTTATAGGTATTCTCCTTCGTCTTTTCCCATTAGGGGTCGGCCATTTCTGAATAGGTAGTTCTATACATTAAAAAATATAATATTTTAAAATATTGACGTTTTAAATTTCAGTGGTTCCTTTGATTCCTCATGTCCCACGTAAAATCCTTAAATACTTATCCCAACAAACATACATCCCTATAAAGTCTACAATCTCATGTGAACACCAATTATAGACTCATATTGAATATAGGTATTTATATAATGAATTAAGATACCTGTAGGTTTCTAAATTCGGATTTTGAACTGTCAATAATATCAAATATCAAGACCCCCGGGGGAGGGCAATGTGGCCGTGCCTCCTCCCTCCGCTTTAGATGGTATACGTTAGGTATACGAACACTCAATCATTTAAATCATGGGACACGAATGTACGATTTAAATTTTAAATTCACATTTTTCCATGTTTATTATCTTTGATTTAAAATTCTCACTCAATGGGTTTGCAAAACGGAATCTATAGTAAAGATAAAATATATTTTTTTTATCCCCCACCCCTTCACCACGAGAAGTATTTCTGCAGGCAACCTTGTCAAATATAGGTACCCTACCAGATAAATTGAGTAGGTAACTTGATGGTTGGGTATTTAAGTCAATATTAATAATCTACCTACCTAATTGTACATCATAACTTGTTAAAACTAATATAGATATCTACTTGAAACCATTAACCATTTCTATGGTAAATGGTGTATGGACAGGTATCCACTTATAGTCAACGGGTAAGATAGATAGGTCTATAATCTATACAAATTTAGCCTCTATAGGTACATACTGAATAATTTATAATAGGTATACAAACAAAGACGAACAATCAAAACATATATTGATTCAAGCTGTCCCGATTGATAGCACAATAAAAATCTGAATATTCAGTAAAAATGTAAGTAGGTAGATATCTCGTATAACTATGCGGGCTAGGTGTATGTTATAATTTTGTATAAACAAAAATAATTACCTAACATACCTATCTAAACGAATTGCCAGAAACCTTAACGAACTTACTAAAATTCTGAATTCAACCATATATCTATATAGATACCTACCTATTTACCAATACTTCTAATATCATACGATAAGAATCCGCTAGGTATCTATAGCCTATAGCCACGGGCCACGGGCACCCGCAGGAAATTTATCACAGAGAGGCATAATAAAACACCAACAAGTATTTAAAATACAATTTTATTAATTAATTTTTAAAAATATATTTGAAATGTTTAAGTCCTGGGGGGGAGGCATATGCCCCGTCTTGTGTCTCTCCGGGCACCAATGTTTTTAGCATTGATAAAATCAACGCCTATATTTAGGTAGGTACCTTATAGTATTATGGCAAAATATTGAACGCTGATACTTACCTGTACCTATATTGGCTATATTAAGTATGTAATATTTTGTATCCTGATTATCTGTATTTGATTTTGTATTTACAAATAATGAGGAGAGGTGAAAACGAAACAGTTAGGGCAGCAATAGAAAAGAAATCCCAAGGCGAAGAAGATCTAGGGAAAAAATGGATTGACGAGATGGATGGAAACTTGAGAAGAATGCATAAACTTTAATATCTACGCGCATCAGTGTAAAACTGTCGAAAATAGTAAATACAAGTTTAAATGTTATTAATTGTCTGCGTTTCGCAATGTCTACTATCTATCCGTGTTTACAAAAACAAAATCAACAGCAAAAAAAAAAAAAAAAAACCGTTTGCGAAGAGTACGTAATAATTTATAGGACCAAGTATGTAGCTATATAATATAATAGCTACTTTAAAAACAAGACGTATTTATTAGTTGCTTTTTTTTTTTTCTGTATGTCTGTAAACAACTTTTCGACTAAGTATAGAATTCGTGTTCCGACCAAATACCTATCAAATTATATAATTTATAAATACATATATCTAATACATCAATTACAATTTAAATACGTACAATCATCGTCTTAATTATGGTCTTGAAAGTAATAAAAATACAATTGATAAAATTGACTGAAAAATACATTATTCCACTATATTAGACAATATTAATTAAATTTAAGGATATGCATTTTTAAAAAGTTTTCATGTATTTTTTTTTTTTCTGGTGGTTCGATATTTTCCCTCACACCTATTTTCCCACTGGTCAACTCCTCAACTCCAACCGCATTTTTTCAATTAACGGCTGGATAGGAATGTGAAAATAATTTGGAAAACCTATCCTTCAGTTTCGTTGTTAGATGTCTACGGTTATGTACAGTGCACAATCCGGACATTTCTTCCCGGGCCATTATTACCTACAGCCGTTATGTTCCACCTAATATTCGTATCGGCGGCGATTCAGAAAATCCATAACGTGAAATGGCAACGTTGTGTGCGAAACGGGCGCATATGGGCTACAAATCGACAGGTAGTAAACCTTGTCTTTCGAGCGCATCCGTCCACATCCCTCGGGGTGCAAACGGGCTACTCCGGGACAGCAATTGTGCTGCACCCGGCTACGAGCACTTTATCGGCCCGGTGCGTTTTTCAAAATATTCTGTCGGTAACACGTATTGTAGTGCCTAGCGCTTACTGAACTATTTTCAATTTTCTCGTTTCTTTTGGTTTTATACGTGGATAACAATTTCGTGACTCATCGTTCGGAGCCCAAATCCGTTTTCCGTTTGTTACCGACCCGTCAATTGTTCACCTACGACAACATTGAACACAATACAGCAATGTAATACGTACGAACAATATGGCGCACCCGTAATGCGAATTAGGTAGGTATGCGCGTTTCTTTTTCTTTTTTTTTTTCTGCGTACCCTGCACACGGACCCAACAACCAGTTGTTAGGTCTATGGTCCTGCATTCCTCCGGCAGTCTGCTGTCTCCAGAGTCCGGAACACGAGGCCGTCGTTTATTTTTAAAACCTGCCTTTAGATGGCTTTGGATAACGTCGTTTCATGTAGGTATACGTTAATATTTAACCATGGACATTATAACTGTGACGGGGCAACAGGTATTTTCGTACTATTACTCGTATTGGCTACAAACGTATACACGATAAAATGACAATGAAACATCATTGTCGGAACCGTCGACAAAGACAAACGGCACTCGACGGACCCCACTCCGTAAAGGCGGCTGGGAACGTTACCGTACCACGCCGCCAAACTGGTTGTGTCGCCGAGGACGGTCGAGGGCCTCGACTCAGCGGCTCTGGGCTCACGCGACACGGCGCGTCGCCACAGCATTTCAGTCGTGTTCCACTACTTGTACTCGTCGCTCGTCTCTCTCAGTCAGTCTCTTATAACATTGACATTTCGTTCGTCCTGTATATGCCGGCGCTCGCGGCAGTTACCTACGTGCATTCGGTACGCCCACGTCCCACTAAGGCAGGTTCTTATCGTGTCCCCGACCCGATCACCAGGAACGTCGCCGTGAAACGCTGAAATTCTTTCCCGTCGACGTCACAGCCCCGTCGCGACGGACGGTGTAATGTCACGTTCTTCGGGCTTCTGGTCGTGTGACTCATCGTTTCGTCACTCAACGTTCGGTCCTTCTACATATTATTAATCACATAGTCGGCTGTGTGCCTATGTATTGACGCGTCCGCACTTTGTTGGCACCTAGTCCATACGCCCGTCGCGGTCCGTTTCGACAGCACTGAAAAGACCCGTCCATTGGGGGTTCGCGATCGCTGTGATGGCCATGGAACCCGAGGAACACTTCAAGACGCCGGAATGGGTTTCCAGGTTGGAGAACAAACACAAACGAGTACGTACTTACCTATCGATAATAACAATAAATAACTGTATGGCTACCTGTTTTCCGAAGAAAAGAAAAAAACACTCGGTTCTAAACTAATAGGTAGAATTTTATAATGAATAATATTAATAGGTTTCACCCATCTTTCATTTGAATATTTCGTTGCATACAAATATGATGATAGGTACAATTGGTTATAGGCAATATTGTTTTAAAAAATTTTAATATATAGGTAGGTATATCTGTTTGGTCTCTTTTTGGAATCGGTTGCACCAAGTTGGCACCTATCTGCTTTTTATTATTCGTGTTTGGGGGCTCGAAAATGGCCATTTGTCTATAATTTAATGTCATTAATATTATTTATTTGTGGTACTTATATCTCTTCAAGAATCACCAAAATATTTGTTCAACTGGCTATCATAGTATGTTATTAAAATAGAAGTTCCAAGGTCTATATTAAATAATAAAATAAATATTTTATGTAGGAATTAGATTGTAGTAGTAGAGTACCTAGTAGATTAAAATATTATTAAAATTTACAATAGTAGTCAAACAAATAATAATACACTTTTTGTTAATTCAAATATTTGTCAGACACATTGAGTATTATTTTGATTTGTATTGAAACAAATAAGTATAATAAAATTGATAAGTTTTATGCAAAATTGTATACAGATGTTTATATTTTTTAGCACCATAAATTAGCACACGAAATTGGATCCGGTTCGAGTTGTTTGAAATGTGGAGATCAATGTCCCGGATTGGATTTACATTTTTGGAGAAAAGTGTGTAGGAATTGTAAATGCAAAAGAGAAGAACATAATATTGTAGACGATGACCAGTATAAACAGTTTGATATTTTGTTTAATGATTCTAAGTCAAATTACCAACCAGTTAAAGCAGGTATAATAGTATATACTATTATATTATTTACTGTAAAATAAATGTACAGTAATTTTGTTAATTAATTATTTGTAAATTGTTTAGTGTTGAATATGATTATTAAACCAGATGGTCAGCTGGTTAAAAAACAAGAAATTGATCAAAATCAAAATGCATTTAAGTTTGATTGGGTTCCACCTAATGTCCATAAAGACATTGCTTCAGAATACATGCAGTTGTTACCATCTGACAAGTTACCGATCAGTGGCAGTGAAGGAGCATTGTACAGACGCCAGCAGCTTGAAAAACAAGTTCCTTTACATGATTTCAATGCAAATGTTTGTCATAATCTTACAGCCGAAGAAACTGACGCCATGTCTACTTATTTACAAAATTTAAAAGAAAATGCTGTTGGTCAGGGTTTAGTAAAAAGACTTTCTGAGAACTCCAATCCGCTTCCATTATTTAAAAATATGAATCTTACTCCCAAACCATTTAAAAAATTGTACAACGAACAACACGAAGATGAAGAGTTTCCACCACCGCCTCCAGAACTTTTATATCCATCTAACACTGAGTTAAAAACTCCAAGCACATTTATTGGAAACAAAAACTTTTTTAGAGGTGATAAATCAGACATTAATATACTAGACAATACTAACAATAATCCAGCTATAGGCGAAAAAATAATTTCCCAATGGCCGACTTCAAATATTGCTAGATCAGAAACTTTGCCTCAACAACAGACAAATTTTCCTTTAAATATTCAAAACAATAACAAACCTGTTATGTATGATAAGAACAGTAGTGAATCGATAAAAAATCTACCTATGGACGATTCAAAAGAATTTGTGGCTAATGCTGATACATATATTCTACCTGATGGCAAAGAATTGTATTGTAAGCAGTGTAATGAACATGTTATACCGGGTCAAGTCGCTGTAATGGCTGAACGCACTGGCAAAGAAGTACTTTGGCATCCACCATGTTTTGTTTGTACTACCTGCGAGGTAAGTTTTCAACTTGTATGTAGTATTTTATAATCCGAAATTAATACAATTATTAAATATGTTTTTATAGGAACTATTAGTTGATCTTGTGTACTTTTTTTACAATAATAATGTCTATTGTGGCAGACATTATGCAGAAATATTGAAAATTCCACGTTGTAATGCTTGCGACGAAGTAAGATATCAATATTAATATATTTATTTAGCTGGTTTAATTATTGTTTTTTTTTTTTTTAGTTAATATTTTTGAAAGAGTATACGATTGCTGAAGATCACACTTACCATGTTAGACACTTTTGTTGTTTTGAGTGTGACAAACCATTAGCTGGATTAGAATATGTAGCTATTGAAAATCAACCGGTCTGTTTAGATTGTTATCAAATAAAATATGGAAAAGTGTGTACATAGAACAATTTATACTAACATTTTGTAAATAAAAATTACTGTAACTTTTTTTTATTTCAGATATGCGAAACTTGTCATAATGTTATAGTGGCTGGTGACAGTAGAATTGGATGGAAAGAGTTAAGCTGGCATGAATCCCCATCATGTTTCAAATGTTATCAATGTTATGTATCTCTTTTGGGTAAAAAGTTTACTGTTAAAGGTGAAAGACGACCTTTATGTAGCAGAGAGTGTGTAATTGCTTTCAATAATTCTACAGAAGTTTAATATTAAGTTTATTTTTAATATTAGTATTAGTGTATTTTTAATATTTAGTTTATTATTTAATGTATACAGGGTAATTCATCAATAAGAGGATGATATTTAATGGTAGAAAACTTTATTGTTCTACCACAATAATCACTATACTTATTGAATCACATTGGTAAACAATTAATGTATTATATATATACATTTTTCTAATGATTTTATCAGAGATGACAATACAAATTGGAAAGTAAATCAAATTCATATCTGTGATATAAGTAACTAATATATTTTTATAATCAAATTTCACTTATCTTATTGCAAATAATAATCATTTTTATTTGAGTACTTATTTTAAATTCAATTTTTTTTTTTAAATATTTTTGTGTGTCAATTTAAGAAATTTAATATTGAAGAAGAATTGAAATACCAACCAACTGTTAATTGAATTTATTTTAAATATATATTGTATCTTTTTATTATTATTTATATATACCTATTTCAATACATTGTTGATAAAAAATTTGTTTAAGTAAATATATGGTATGTTAGCAATCCAATAATGTTCCTAATGTTTAAATAATAAAATATATATTGTATAAAATTGAACAAATTTTAGTGTAGTTAGAAGCTATCATTTTACTGGATAATTACTTTTAATTTGCCATAAATCTGAAACTATGTGATAATTATAATACCTACTATTATTTTATTTTTAAAATTGAAACAAATTTTTTTTTATTAAGTATATATTTGAACAATTTAAATTATATTACATGTTATAAAAGTTAAATTATAAAATAAATTGTTATTTATGAACAAAATATTTATAATTATCTTAATACACTTTATATATTATAATTTATTAATAATAAAATACAATATTTAAACTATTTAAATACTAGCGATTGTATAAATTATTTTTTTTCATTTTTCTTTCTAAATATCTCTGACGTGCTGATTCATAAACATCACCTACTGTTCTTTTTTCCCAAATATTTACTTTAGGTACTATTTCTTTTGGCTTACTATCTTTTTCCTCTATTTTTTTGTTAACAGATCTATCCTTATCCTTGTGTTCTTTTAAATCATTTTCGTCATTTGATGTTTTATCTTCTAAGTTTGCCTGAGGGTTTTCTATGATTAATGGTTTTTCTCCCAAATTTCCCTCTTTTGAATTGTTCGTAGTTTTTTCTTCTGAAGTCGTCTCACGATTTTCAATTTTCTTACGTTTTGTTGAAGAATGGCCTGATGATTCAGAATCGTCAGAAATGTCTGTATCCTTATCATCATTTTCATTATGATCTTCCGAACTATTTGATGATTCACGTTTTCTGTAATGACGGGTCACATCACTTTTTCTACTTACTTTATTTACTTCGTTTATTTTATCATCGTTTTTATTATTTGAAAATTCGGATTTGTATAAATGTCTGTAAAAACTTCCCATATCTTTTTGTTTAGTTACATCATTTATTTCTTCAATCATAGAGAACTTCAGATCTTCTTCATCAAGTTTTTTTAACTCCTCTAGTTTTTTTTTATAAGAGGAAGTAATAAACGCTTCTTTATCCTCAAATTCATTTCCTTCAGTTTCTCTTTCTTTTTGAATTAACCTTTCATTTCTTCGTTCATATTCAATTTTACGCTTGTCAGCTTGAATTATTAAATTCTGTATATATCTTGGCTAAAAATGCAATTAATATTTATTAAATATTCATAACATAAATTAATAGTTTATATTACTTTTTTGTCAGCTTTTGTCTTATTCCCATCCAGCAATTCCTTTTTTTTTTTCATGTCATCAAATACTTCATCATATTGAAATACAGTAGCATCTTCTTCAAGAGCCTTATTTATTAATACTTTGTTACTCCTTTGTTGAGCTTTAGTTTGGTTACTGGTCTTAAATTGGTTTTAAAAACATAAGTTTATCCATAACAAAAAATAAACTAGATTAATTTGGCTGTGACGTATAACCAGTTTTTTCTGATGTATGATCTTTAAAATATTAAATAGGTGCACAATAAAGTCATATAAAAAAAAAAAGTAATTTAATTATAATGGATTTGTTGTTAGTTTCTCAAAATACAAAGTTGGTGTATGAAAAAAATTCTTGTTTATTTTGAAACAAATTATAAACATTTTACATAATATGTAAATATGTTTCTTGAAATTCAATAAATTATTATCTGAAACCACAATAAGATTAATAGATTTCATCTATTTTGTAGTAAAATTATGCATCGTCTTTTCCAAATACCTACTGATATTTACAATAAATATAAATTTAAGTAAATACAATATATATATATATATATATATATATATATATATAGAGAGAGAGATTTAGAATCCTAGAAGAAAGAGAACATGCAAATAATTATCATGCTTTTATTTTATTTTAATAAAACTTTACTGTGGTGTATCTAATTTAAAATTATCTTAGAATGATTTAAAAAAAGTCATATAAAATGGGTATAATATAATTAAACAAACAAAATGCTGGTGAATAATTGTTTATGCAAATCGAATAAAGCTCTTTAGAAACTTGCCAAGGACATATTAAAATAAAATATTTATCGTTTGGCCTCGTCTAATTGCAACATTTAGTTTTGACTATGACTAATATGAATAAATATTGTTTATTATATAAAAGTACTAAATATTATGTGCCCATTTTAAAATTATACTTTAATGTTGTTGAAAACTGATAAGGGTAATTTTTAAGATAATGAAGACAAAGTGATTTTAACTAGTTATAATATTTAAAAAAAAAACTAGGTATTTATGGTGTGTTATAATTTTTGAATGAAAAGAAATCCTGGTCTTTTTAGATTTCAGATCTACATTCATATATTAAATGTATACATGTATACCATTCTCACACTCTATATACTTATAAATAATGGAAAGTTAGTCCACTTTATAATACAGGTTATAAAATGGAATTAAATTTAAATATGTTAAATGAAAAAAAAAATGATATTTAGATATTATAAGTTGAACAATTAAATTAAATTTATTCTACATACCTCAATAGGTTTTTTATGTATTGCTTCATCACCGCTATCACTATCGTCACCAAATACATTGTTTGTTTTCCTTACACTATCTAGTTTCTGTTTAGGGACAATTAATCCATACCTAAAAATGAAAATTAATATGTCAAAGATAATCATTATCTGTATAATAATTGTTAAAAATTATGCTCTCTTTAATATAAAACATTATTATATTATAAGGAGTTGCAAAGAAATTTGTTTAGGTATTAATGTATTATAAATTATATTACTCAATTTTGAAAATTAATAAAAAAGTAATTTATCTATTACAAAATGAGTAAAAACTTAAAAAGTCTGTTACAAACACATTTCAACTTGGATTGTGTTAAATTTCATTCACACAATAACCATATTTTTTTAAACATTAAATAGTCTAAAAATACCATATATTAATTATTAATTTTAAAACACATATTTCTTACTTTTTCTGTCCAGATTCCATGATTATTTTGTAAAATTGTTGAGTAAAAATTGAAATGTAAGAAATACATTGAAATGTCCAAATCAAAACTGATAAGGAAAAATATAATGATTACCTACAACCTACTGTTTATTATTTCTTTTGATATCAGCATCAAGTTTTTCTTTTTATTCGTCAATAATAAATTATATGCTATTATAAGTACATAGATTTGGCGGTTTGGGGACATGATTGTTATTGTCAAATAAATTATTAGATTTAGGTAGAAGTCACGTGTTTGCCATTTCCCGTTTGATTATCTTCTTATTTCACCAATAACATTGGTATGGCCAAGGTAAATATTTTTAAATATATATACAATATACCTTCATATTATTTTATAGTATAAGGTTTTTGAATTTTGTAAAAATAAAATGAAATTAATAGTGAAGTATTGTCGTGCATGTATATTTTTACTTAATATTTTAAATTTAAATTCTGATTTCAGGTGTAACCTATTATCATGATACGTAGATCAAAACGTGTTCTTAAACTAAAAACGGCTATTGAAAATGGTTGTCACAATGAGCCTCCAACCAAACGCAAAAAACAACGTGCTTCTTGTTCTGAATCCTCCTCTGACAATGATTCGTCAGATGAGGATAATAGTTCTGGAGATGAATTTGTTCCAATACAGACTACTGAAAACAAAAGGTCTTGCACATTAACTAAACATAAACCCTATTCTCATTCTGAGGTTACTATTAATGATTCATTAGATAAAGATAATAGTTCGGGTGATGAATTTGTTCCGACACACTCTACAGAAAACCAAAGATCTGGTACATTAAATTTATCAGAATCAGATAGTGACAATGATACTCAAGACTGTAATAAGACAAAAGCAAAACAATTGCAACAGTCGGATACTGAGAGTGAAGAAGAAGAAATTTGTCAAACAAATTTTGATTTTACTAATTTTTTAAGTTCTCAAAATGACGCATTACTTACAGAAACTGAAGTTAAACCTCAACCTGTTGACACAACAGATATAAATGGTCCTTATAATAATATGGATGTTGCTAAAATACTGTCTGTCGGAGAAGGAGTTAATTTAGGAACTGTTTTAGATAATACAGATAATAATGCAGAAAAAAAAGTAAAACGTGACGATAACTATACTATTCCTGATATGGTTGAAGTCAGTGTTAAACTTCCAAGTGATGTTAAATGTAAAAAAGGTCAAGATATGCAAAATTTACTCAGAAGACGTATGAATACGATATGTAAAGATACACAGATTTTAATTCATAAAGTAAATCTGCTCTTATGGATCACTTATGGTAATTATTTAAATAGTGTTATTAATTCACCAGAAGTCATGGGGTCAGCATTGTCTCTAATACCTTCTGAAAAAGCATATCCACCAAAACAGTGTGATTTAAATTATTTAGAAAATTATATTGCATGGTTTTCTAAAAAAATTAAAATTTCATCAAAAATCAATCCATTAGGAAAAATTACTGTATTATCATTGTCAGAGCAATTTTCAAATCGCGAAGCTAAAACAAGATATGATTTGATTGTAATGTTTATTTCAATGTTAAGATCATTAGGGTTAAATGTTCGGTTAGTAATTAATATTAATGCTGTTCCTATCAAACCAACTTCCGAACAATTATTGGGTCCATTACCATTAACAGATGAAGGTCATATGAAACCATCCAGTATTAAATCTAAAGTTGTGACACCAGCAAAATCTGAATATTTTAACACAAAATCAACTAAATTGAAAATTGATTTAAAAAAATCTGATAAAAACAAATCTAAATCTGTTATTGGTGATAATAAAAGTAAAAATAAAAAATCCAAACTGAATGAAAAAATTGATGAAAATAATTCTTCTACTGATGAAGAAGATTCCATTTTTGTAAAAAGCAATAAAAAAAAATCTGAATACTTCAAATCAAATAAATCACAGGTTAATGTAAAAAAGTCTGTTAGAAAAAAGTCCAAACCTGTTCTTGATAGTAAAACAAATAAGTCTATAAAAGGCGAAAAAATTGATCGCCGTGTGCTTTCAACTGACGAAGAAGATAATAATACTTTAACAGAAAACAACAAAACCATAACAAAAAAGAAAACTAAAAATGATTTTTGGGCTGAAGTATTTTTGGAAATGGAGGAAAAATGGTTTTGTGTAGATGTAATTGGCCAACGTTTACATTGCATTAAAGAAATATATGTTAGTTGTTCAGTTATTATAGTATATATATATATAGAACAGTAACATTGAGTTGTGATAACTTAAATCTAATGTAGGTTAATATATATTTGAGGCATCTAAAATTTATACTATTGAGCCGGATTCACATCTGGGAGTGTGTTAGTATGCCTTACGACTAAAATCATAAAACTGAAACAATTGTATGCATCATTTTGAGCATAGAGTAAGTGTGGACGATTAGCAATATGGTCGACTTGTTTATTTATTTAGTGTATGCCACATAATTTTCTATCAGAAGTTGATTCTCTAAAAAGGATCTAAAGAATCATGATTCATAAATAAATTTAAGATTAGATAAACGTGCTTAGATTTGGACCTGGTTTTTATATTCTAAGGAAATTAATGTTTTTTATGAATTGATAATTTAAAATTACTGAGATAAAATTTATTACAACTTGAATGTATTTTTATGAATATACCTATAATAAGAGTATTTATATTAACTGACAATTTTAAATAAGTATTTGATTTTATAATTTCTTATATCTACAACTTAATTAAAGTATTTTGCTAAAGCTTTTATTTTTTTTTATATTTACTATTTACTTTGAATAATACATTCACTCAGATGATAGAAATACTCTATTATTTATGTATACTTTTATTTAATATAAATGTTTTATCTTTTTTTTTTTCAAAAATATTTTATATTTTAGAATGGTACATCACACCCTATGCGCTATGTTTTGGCTTGGTATAATAATAGTAACATTAAAGACATAACAAAACGCTATGATCCATATTTTCATACTTTGACACGAAAACTCCGTGTAGATCCTAAGTGGTGGAAAGATACTTTACGGCCTTATGCTCCTTATCGTTCAGCTAGAGAACGTGAAGAGGATGAAGAATTAGATAGACAATTGGAAGAAACCCCTTTACCTAAAACTGTTTCTGAGTAAGTTATGTCACAATATATATAATGAAAAATTGTATTATAGTAAGTTTTATTGCTAATTATTGTATTGTATGTATTGTACAAACATTTTTTTTCTGCAAGGTACAAAAATCATCCACTGTATGCCTTATCGAGACATTTATTAAAATTTCAAGCAATTTATCCACCAGAACCACCAATTGTGGGATATATTAGAAATGAACCTGTTTACTTACGAGAATATGTTCATGAACTTAATGGTAGAGACAATTGGCTTAAAGAAGCTCGTGTTGTTAAACTGGGCGAAACATCTTATAAGCAAGTTAAATCACGCCCCAGGTTTGATCGGGTTGGTTATTAATATCAGTGATTTCTGTAATGTAGAAGAATAATCTATTTTTTTAAATCACAGAACGGTTTACGAACAGATCCACCCCCATTAGAACTGTTTGGTTATTGGCAAACTGAACCTTATGATCCTCCAACTGCTTCTGATGGAAAAGTTCCTAGAAATTGTTATGGAAATGTTGATCTATTTAAACCTTGTATGTTACCCAAAGGAACTGTTCATCTTCAACGTAAGTGTCTTCTGGTTAGATATAAAAATTTGTTGTAATATTACTGAGATGCTATATTTGATTTTAGTTCCTGGTTTGCTGCGAATAGCGAAAAAATTGAATATTGATTGTGCTCCTGCAGTAGTCGGTTTTGACTTCCATGCTGGTGGTTCTCACCCAGTGAATGATGGTTTTGTAGTTTGCAAAGAGTATAAGGACACTTTAATTGCAGCATGGGACCAAGAAATAGAAGAAAGTCGAAAGCGAGAACAAAAAAGATATGAGGATAGAGTTTATGGTAATTGGAAACGATTAGTAAAAGGACTTTTGATTCGTGAAAAATTAAAAATTAAATATGATTACTTTGGAGGAGTGAATAATAGCCAGTCAACATCAAAAGCAAATGATGAAAAAAAATAATTATTTTTTATATTTGTAATTAAATCATAGTATTATACTTTATATCTACTTAACAGTAATCATTTACAATTAATTCTAACAGTATTACTATTTGTATATTATTTTGAATGTTTTGTAAAAAATGTGCTTAATGAAAAGATTTTATGTTACGATTACACAATGTTACTTCTATTTTCTGAAAATAAAAAGGAATCCTTTTTAGTATTATATTAACTGGTGCACATTTCTTATATTTACAATGATAAGATTGTTAACCAATCTAAGAATTGAATTCTTAAACAAAATAGATATGGACATATTTTGTGCAATGGATGGGCCACTATTGTAGGTGAGAAGGTAGAGTATAGAGTAGAATTTAAAGTATATCTGCACACAGCGATCATTAATATTTGCTAATGAAAAATGATTCTAAGCCGATTTAAAAAAATAAATTTCGTACATTTTCTCAATTTTTCCCAATCAATATAAAAACCATTGGGAAAATTAAAATATGACCTACTTAAAGTACCACCCTAAACAAATTTCTTTTCAGAAAAAGTGTTACACTTGAATATTGGAGCAAAATTCTGGTAAAATGTTCACAGAAAAAAAAATATTAACATCATTTCTAATTATTTACATCATTGTAAAACCAACAAATTCTTGACTCAGCTCAGAATCTAAAATCTATGTACGTGTAAAAATGAATCGATATTTTGTTGGTGACATCATAACTTAAAAACGAATGGATCAATTTGACTAGAATTTTTTTTTGTATAAGAATTATCAGGTCATGGTTTTTATAAAAGCAAATTTTTGGAAAAGTAATTTTATTTATAGAGAAAACTGTTTTAGTCTATTTCAGACTCTAGTCTATTTATAGAGTTTATTCTTCAAACAATTTTGATGTATCAAATTTTTATTTTCCTTAAATTCGTGATTTTTAAAAAATTTAAAGTTAAGAGAAAAAAAATCTTATACTAGTGACGGAGGTTTTTGTAGGTGGGGTGTTGAAAACATAGGATTCATTAAGTTATTTAATTTATAGTTATCTAACCCTAAAAAATATTTTATGAAATCTTAATGATATTTCAAACACAGCAGCATCTTATTCATGAACGGCGGCAAAAAGACCCGGCTATAAAACAGTCAAACCGTATTTAAGCCAAACATGAAATTAACAAAAAATATTTCCGCTGAAAATAAAATAATCGAACGTATTTCTGGCAAAACTTCCAAAACTATACTGATTATCAACTTGTACATTTCTTATCATTGTTTCTAATTAAAAAAGGTTGAATTAAGAAACTTTGTTTGAATCTCGATACCTAATTTGAAAAAAATTTAAAAGAACGTGCACATTTTGAGTTATAATTCAAATGCATTACTTTTTATTTTAATATCGAATATTTTTAATATTCTTGTACTTACACAATTGATATTTAAGTACACAACTATCTGTATTTTTCCTGTTTTTTCCATTTTATTTTGAAAACTGCAAAGAAAATCAAAAAATGACTTTTTGAAGTATCACTCGAGGAAAATTATCTTTCAGAAAAAGTGCTACACTTGAACATTAGAGCACAATTTTTACTACAAAAGTTGTTTAGAGAAAAAAAAACATCATTGTTAAACCAATAGATTCCTCACTCTACTCATGGGGGGTTCATGGGGTTTAAACCTCTCCATTGGCCTTTTTTTTCGCAATAAATTAGTTTTAAATTTGTTATGGATGTGAAAATTCATTGTCACATCATATAGTTTATATTTACAATTACCAAAGTGCATTAAATTTTGCATTGTTATTTTGTAAGTGCAAAAGTTTCAGGCACACGGACTAAGATATATCTAATCTATATAGTCAGTCCGTGGTCATATAAGAAAAATATCAAGTCAGTGTACTATCATTTTGATTAGTTTGTCAAATGTACTAACATTTGTATTAATTCAACCTAAAGTAATTTTTTTTAGAGTGGAATTAATTGGTTTTACTATGATGTTACTGTTTTTTTTTCTGTATGCACGCAATTTTTCTACTAAAAATTTTGCCTCAATCAAAAATTGGAGAGGAATCTTATTTGATTTAAATTGTTTTCTCAATATACAAACATATTTTTTTTTTATCTTTTGTCACCGTGAAAATAATACCAATGTATTTTTTTTTTAATAGTTTTATTACCAGATGGTAAAAAATCGGTTTATATCACTAATAAAATAAACGGTTCTCATCAGTACCTGCTTGGAATAAACGATACAGTTACCTTACCTTATAGATTGATAATTAATTTTAGGAGTTCCTACTGCTATAATAACTACAGTTACCATTAGTTAGGCATAATTGAGTGTTTAGGTAATATACTATGGATAGAACTAGTGACTAAATATTTGAAGCAAACATAACTAAGGGAAGTTGGTACAATTACGCATGCGCAAAATTTATATCACGCGTAATTGGTCGAATTCATGTAATCACATGTGACGTACCTACCATCGTTACCTGGTGGTATTATTATAATGATTATATGATAAATATGCGACGAGTACTGATACGCATGCGCAGTAGACATCAGTCCTCTTAGCACTCGTTAAAAATGATGTCTTCAATACATAGTACGCGTTTATCATGCAGTACTTCTGTCCGTAGTTAGGCTTAATAACATTAGTTATCCATAGTATATGATCTAATGTCTGGTGCTTAGATATTGAAGAATGGATAGGCAATATTCTATGATTATCATACGGGAATGAACATGAACATAAAGATAGAGGTTTAATCAACTATTACAGAATATATCTATGCACAGAGTAATACAAAGAAGCCAATACATATTACGCTAATATAAAATATTGAAGACCAGAGAGGAATGTGAATACAGTGTTACTACTTAATCATTTGGAAACTATTGTACAATTATTGTAAAATGTCATCAATGGACAAATTAGAGGGAAAATCAATTTTATAAAATGTTCGTTTTGGTTTTGATCACTGTTATAATTATTATTACTATTAAGTATTATTATTATTATTTAGTAAATAAATATTTAAAAAAAAAAAAAAAAAATATTCATTCTGCAATAAGACATACTAAGACGTATTAACAGTCGCATTAAAGTTATATACATTTCCATATTGTACACTTTGTTGATTCATTAGATTATTGTTTCTGTAGATATGTTTTAAGATTAAATTTGTATGATCGAATGATTTAGATTTGAATTTTATATGCATAGCTGATTTTTGAATCTAGGTCAAAATATTCAAAATATATTGGTATCTTTAATCCTATATTAACAATAATAATACAATCGAATTATAGTTTATAAGCAATAATTATTTAACTTTATCTACTTTTTGTTGAAATTTAATAATTATTAAAAAATATATAGGCATATAATATCATGTATTATATTGCATAATATATACATATTATCCTTTAATGATTACACACGGTTAATACAGTCACTTTGTGCCTCACTTTTCTTTGACATTGGTCTCTCTATATTACTATATTACTATATATATCTATATTACTCTATGATCATATAGTAATTCCTCGGCGAAAGTAAGAGGCATTGAAAAAAACAGTCTTTGTCTCTTCCCCGTTCTGGCGCATTTCCTTCTATATTGTTGGTATAGCCATGGCCTTTCCAATTTTTTAATATCTATGGTCTGGTGTTATAACCAGAATATGGATAGGAATTTTCCATAGAATATAGATAATATAGATATCTGTGGAATTTTCAAACTTCATGTTGAGCAGATATGGATAATAAATTACGTACATATCTATTATTATCTATATCTGTGATATCGAGTGAATAATGTTAATATTATCATTTTCTACACTAAGTCTACAAATTTGTTTTTATTATGACTTAGGAATAAAAAAAATGTCCTGAAATGTACAAAAATTGTTTGTTTTGTAATATTTTTAGAAATAAATGATTTATGATAACTTAATTTTTTTTTTTTAATATAATGTCTAAACTAAATAAACATGTTTGCATAATTCGATTATATGTTTATGAAAAATAATTAATTTAAAAACTTTTAATTATACATATGAAATTGCAGTTATAAAAAAAATTTTATAAGATTCCAATATTTGAAAAAAATAAAATAAAATACAAATTATGACCCGACGATATCAGTTACATAAATACAAGTAAGGATACCAATTAAGACGTTAAGGGTTAGAATCGAATACCACTTTATTTTTTCTTACTTTATGGTTTACCATTATTTATAGATATAAAGTAAATAACTTATTAAAGATCTATCATCATACCACAACAACTTCTCATCTACAACAGTGGCACACCCATTCGGGTTTAGTACATCACCGCCAACTTTTCGCCGCAAACTGTTTTTTTTCGTTTAAAACCTAGCGCCGTGCCTTAGTTATTTTTCAAAGTACGCTAATGTGATCTTCACAATTACACATACGGCTATTAGAGGCACTTTATATTAAAAATACCCCCCCCCTTAAAATTGTATATATATCTCGACGGGATTTAGTGAATTTAGGATTTAGAACCTAACCTTGTTGAAGAGGGACGCGTAGCTTTTTTAGTAATATTAACAAACGTCCATGCCCGCGTTTTGTTAGTTTTGGTATCGGAAATTATTTTGCAGCAAGATGCTTTGTACTGGACCTAATTTTATTTTTTATTCTTATATATTTGCCTGAAATTTGGGGGGAAGTTAACTTCGTTAAATATTAATGACCCACCAACTACTTTGAAGCAAAATTCCTTTTTTCGATCCATTCTGATTGCCACTAAATTTTATGAGGGTAGTAGATGATCTAGGGGCCGTTTCCAAAGATTGGTGGTGATCGAACGAATTTCAGGCTAGTTCCCTTGAAAGGAATTTTATAGTGTCAAACTTTGGAGGGGACATGTGTAGGGTACGAAGCCAAATTTTTTGGCGTTAAATTCACTTTCCTATCACTAAATCCCATTGAGATATACTTGATCCAAAAATTAGAAGGAGGGGGTACTTTTAACATGAAGTATCCCTAATAGTCCAATGTGTAATAGTGAAGATCACACTAGCATACGTTGAAAAATAACTAAGGCACGGCGTTAGATTTCAAACGAAAAAAAAAACATTTTGCGGCGAAATAAGTCGTGGCGAATTGCTTGGCGGCGAATCGTTGAGGGCGAAACGATCGCGACGATGTGCTGGTGTTCATACCCATCCTCAGTATCAACTTATTTTATATTTTTTATTATTGCTTTACGCAAATTATCGATCTTCAAGCCAAAATTCAGTCATGGACTCGTGGTCATGGTCTATCCATATTCCATTATATTTCTATAAAATTCTACAATAGCATCCGACCATTGAAATAATAAACAGTAATAACCGTAGATTGTAAAAGTGGCACACGATGACGGCGATGGCAACACTGTTTTTTTTTCGGTTCAGAAAGTGGGATATCAAAATGGTGGCGACATATTCGTGATAGGTAGGTATTTTGTTTTGTTTTTTATTTATGTTTTGGTTTTGGTTCGCGAAAATTCAAAAATCAAATTCCATTCTAAGTCCGAAAGATGTAACATATTATCGATGACACCCGTTGGTTTGGCGAATATCGAAATGACTGCTCCGCAAGTGGTCGACACACAGGACGTGTGCGCGTCAGATCCAAACTTTGCTGTTATATTTGCCTTCTGTGAACGATTTGGTGACAATTGTGGTATTGCTATTCCTACTTTCCAAGAGCTACAAGAGATGTTGGAGAACACCACCGAAGGTAACTATATTCATAAAACTATATCTTTCCAGTGTATATTGTATTTATGTACAACATTCGATTTTATGACAATATTTCATACGTATCGTTATATGAATTTCTTAATATGACCCATTGTTTGTATTGATTCAAAAATGTAACTCTGTTTTAAATTGATTATCTTAATTTAATTTATAATTTACAAATCTACATATTCGTTTGTTAATCTTAATACTTGTTTTTGAAAAGGCTTAACAATATACACAATTTCTTAAGTACATTAATACTTGTGTTTAATATTACATTAATAAATAAATTAAACACTAAGTACCTATACCTACTAGTTTTAAATTGTGTAACCATATTCTAAGTGTATCTAAAGAATTAGAAAACACTAACACTGGGTTGTTTTATTATTAAGTGTTCAATAATTTGTTTGCTATTTTATAATTTATCTTCTTGCATTGAATCTACCAAAAATAAATATGACTCTAAATGATAGTTCATCGCATCGTTTGTAAATTCTATGTTGATATCAATTTAGAAGCCATGTTCAGAAATGGGTGAATTGATTTCGAACAGTTAATTCTTAGTAAATTTTAGATTTTGAATGTAGTAAAGAAGCTAATAAATTATAATTACTGAGATATGTTTTTTCTTGTAAAACACTTTTTTGATTAGTTAAAATGCTCTAAATTAATAATTGCATTATACTTTAAAAAAGCTGTTCTAGGATAATGGGGACAGGTGCAGCCACTGCTGTAGGTGGGTAATTGATAAGGTAGGATACAGAAGGGAATTGTATGTATATCTTTAAGCAATAAGCAACAATAAATAAACTATTGCTAATGAAAAAACAATTCTGAATGGAGTAATGCTTTGTGAATAATGTATTTATCATATTTTGGTAAAATAATTAAATAAGCATTATATATTTTATTTAATAATATTTGTTCAATATTATATTGATTTTCCTTTTTTTCCCCATGTTTTTCTCGGTTATTCGCATTTGCTGGGAAAACTCTTTGGAAAATCGAAAAATAACCTCCTTAAAGTAAAAAATTTCCTTTCAGAAAAAGGTCTACAGATAGGTAGACAGGTAGAAAAAGTGTACACATAAAAAAAAAACATCTTTTTAAAACCAATACATTCTTTGCTACACTCAGAGTCTAAGATGCGGATTTTATAACTGGGGGTGGAAACAATTGCACATTAAAAGTGATAGGGAAGTGGTTGAAAACAGGGAGATATGTTTTTAACGTTAAATTTTGTGTGTGTTCAATACTGTGCATAGGTAAAGTTATGCGGTATAGTTATAGTACTATTATAGTGTATAGTAGATACATTTTATATATATGTACAGATGTACATTATTTATAAAAAGATGGGTTAGTTCCTTGCCTACATTCTTACTGTGCGAGTAGAGTTCTCATGTTGTACAACAGGTTTGTATTGGTTGTATCTGTTCCAGTGTTATGTGTATTGAATTGAGTATAACTAGTATTTAGAAGTAAAACTCACATTTTTATCGGTATTGTATTATATTTGTATTGTAAATATAAAGTTTTTTTATGGAAAAAGTTTTTTTTACTCACAAAAGCCATAACTGAAAAAATATATTTTTAACGAATCAGGGTCAAAGATAAGTAGGTAATAATAATAATATACAAAGTAGCTGTGTTCATGAATAAGCCTGTTTATTTCATGAAATAGACAGCTTTTCTTAAAAAGGTCAATTTCAAGTGATAATGATATATATATGTTAAGTGCAAAATTTGAAGTCTGGTATTGTGCACAATGCACAATTTTTAAGGGAAAAGTTGGAATAAGTTTACATTGACCTGGTATTGTATACAGTACCTAACTAAATTTAGTCATTGTAGATTAAAAATTAAAAATATTTAAAATAAAATAAAACATCCTACTAGGTACTGTAATGAACAAAAACTGGCAATAGACGTCTTAAATATTATTTGCCTCATAATAATTTTAAAAACTTTTTTCCATCGAATTATTTATTTATTAATAAAATATATTGTTAGGTACCTAGTATTATATTACTTTGTATTTATTATTACATACATTAAAATATTGAATAAAATTAATAATAATAAAAATTAGATATTCGTTCCTAAATTTAATAGGTATTTCGTGAGTTGTGATGTCAAACGAATAAAAAAGTATGTAGGTATAGGTAATTATTACATTTAAATTTTATTTGATATAAATGTACCCACTTGATTCCGGGCATTGTGCACAGTGACCGGGCACTCGTAGAATGCCCGGTCAATGTAGTCAAACTTGGAGTATTAAACAAATTGCCCAAATGGTTGTGCACTGTGCACAATGCCTGGATTTCTTATTTTTCCTGTAACATATATATAACTTCATTATTTTTAAAACTTGGTATATTTTTATTTCTTTTTAGATTTTTAAAGGTACCTACCTATTTTTGGATGGGTATTACTTATTTATAAGATTATTTATTCAAAATTAAATTACAATTTTGTTTGATATAAATGTGTCTATTTTGTTTAAAGTTCCAGATGCTTTAGTCGATTTACATATTAAGTTATTGCGCAGAGTCAAAAAAAGTGTACATGCAGATAAATGGGAAAGAGCAATTTTAAAATTCTGTCAAGGTTATTCGATACCAGGATTTTGGGAACTAGAACATAATGGATACAAAGGAATTTCTATACAGTTAAAATTAAGGATTTTAAAAGTACTATTTTTATTTTATTATATTTTATAAAAATATACTACGATTTTAATATTTTTATTTGTTTTCAGACCCTTTTTGAAGCACAGTTTGACAGTAACGTAAAATTTAAGGCTGAAATAAATAAACTTGAGAGCTCTATGCTTCGTTCTCAACCATTAGGTTGGGATAAGTCAGGCACATCATATTGGGTGCAATTTGATCGAGCTTTTAATCTTCGAGTTTACAAAGAAGACAGTGATGAAGATACATGGGAAATTGTGGCAAAGTAAATATTTGTGTTTTTCTTTTTTAAATTTTTATGTGTACTAAATTTATAATTTTTCTAGAGACAGAAACAGCTTAGTAAATCTTATAAATAAATTGTCTGGTGCCAAAGACAATAATCTTAATGAAATTGATGACAGCAGTAGTGTTGAAACTGGTTCAGAAGTAGAAATTGATCTGTCTCAAAATTTAGATCAATCAAAATGTTCTCCCACATTATCAAATGCAATTATTAAAATTGAAAATCACAAAAGTGAAAACAGTATTAATGAGTCTAATGTTGAATCAGAAAAATCTTTATATGATTCTAAACAAAGTTCTCTTGAAAAACCAATTAATTTAAAAAGAAAATTTGAAGAAAATTTAAATGAAGAAAACAGTTTATCTAATAAAATTATGGCTCCTATTGTTGGAGAAGCAATTGAAGAATCTGTGATAATTGTAAAAGGAGAAGGTTCAGGAAAAGAATGTGATACTGGTAATCCTGATGAAACAAATACTCAAAATGAAACCACTAAAAATGAAGATGTAAAAAAACCAAAACTATGGAGTATTGAAACTATTTGTAGTTCATCTAAAGAAGTGCGAGAAGATATTGTTTCTGTTCCCAAAACAGGATTTTTTTTTGGTGATGATTCTGTACCATGTTTAAATAATGTTTCTAATGGAGAAAGTTCTCATGTTGATAAAAATAAGTTAGAAGTTGAGTCACCAAAAGAAAATGATGAGTCAAAGAAGATTAAAAAATATGAAGAAGCTGATTCTACTTTATCATTAAATATTGCCAAACCTTTAAATAAAGAATGTATTACTAAAAATGAAGACGAATTGTCAAGCAAAAAATCTTCAAAACAATCAGTTTTTAATATTAAAGTACACGAAGAAGAAGTACAAATCACAGAAAGAAATGTCAATGAAGTTTTTAGAACATCAGATTCTAATATACATAAGACAAATACATATGAATCACTTGACACACTTAGTAAATCACAAGATTTTCAGCCAAATAGTAAATTACAAGAATTTAAAACTAATGAGAACAATCCTTTACATACTAGTGGTCAAGCTAATATTTGTGATACAGTTGGTAGTAATTATCAAAATAAAACTGATGAAAATAATGTAAATAGTGTTAATAAAGAAATATTATATCAAATTATTAAAGATGATACATCTAATAAAAAACCAATGGATTTGGCAAATTATGATATAAATAAAGATAAACAGTTAGGAAAAGAAGACAACCTTGATGTAAAATCAAAAGATAATAGAGAGAATAAAACTAAACCTTTATTTGAAAATGATCAACATTTAACAACTAAATTAGTTGATCAAATTATCAAAACTGATGATGATGATTATTTAAAAATGAAACAATCTCTATGTAAAAATAACCAAAGTGATGAGAAAAAAAAATACGAAAAAGTTAAAACAAATGAATCATTTACAAACACAATAAACCAATGTGATACCATAAATGAACAACAAAGTACTGAAATATTAGAACAAAATCGATGTTCATTAAATGAATCATCTCAATCAAAAGTCCTGGGTATTGTAGCAGATAATCAAATACAAAAAAATTGTAATGTTATTGACTGTAAAGAAGTTAATGATAAAGAGATTGATCAAAAGTTATCAGAAAATGATAATGCAGATCTTCAAACTATTGATTATTCAATAAAAAGATCTAGTGGTAATAGTAGTAAAACACATGATCAAATTGAAACGGATAATGTTGATTTTAAAATCACTGAACAAATAGATGATAGTTATTGTCCAAAACATAAAAACACAGCGCATAACATTAGCAATATTATTGAAACCAGTGCAGTTGTTAGTGATAGCATTAAAATTAATGAGAATGATGATAGTAAACAACTAGAAACTTTTCAAATTAAAAATGAAAATAATTTTGTGAAACATGTTTTTCAAAAAGAAAATAAATTAATTTTGAATAAAGATTGCCAAATAGTTTCTAGTAAACATAGTTTAGATAAAATATTACAAAAATCAGACCGTAATAAGGATGTGTGTAAAAAAGATCCAACTAAAGAGTTCAAATTAGATGATCAACCTGATTCTTCTAATATTGAAATGAACAACATATGTACAGTAAAATCTGAAATTAATAGTAATGAATTAGAAGCTGAATGTTCGGATACTTCGAATAATTTGATTACAGTAAAAAGAGATGAACCAATTGAGGATAGCAACAATATTGCTCCTGATACAACAAGTGTATGTGAAAAACAAAAGGAATCCATTATTACAATTACCGAAGAGCCAAGAAAGTCAGAAAGTGATAACAATTTTGAAGAATCTACTTCAATTTTTACAAAACAATGTGAACAAATAAAACAGGTATGTGTAGAAGTAAGTTCCACAAAAATTGAATCAAATTTAGAAAAAAATTTAGTAAGTAAAAGGAAAAAAGGAAAACGTAAATTAATGCATATTGAAAACAAAATTGATCCTTGTGAAGAAAAATTACATTCAGAACCGTTAAAAAATATTCCCTGTTTTGAGGAAGACGTGCAAGATTTATCTATGCATGGAAATTCATCAAAAATTGAAGTTTCAATGGTAATAGATGAAAAAAATAATGAAGACCTTTCACAAGATGGTAAGATTTAAATTAAATTTTATGATTAAATACATATACATAATTTTAGGTGAATAATTAATATATTATATTCTCAATTGTCACAATAGTGTATTTGTGTTGGAATCTGTATACATTTGTTTTAAATAAGTGGATATATTATTACTGTTAATGCAATTTATACAGTTTAACAAAAATGATTTTAGAAGCTAATACTAAAATAAATATATATACATAGGGGGTGGTACATAGTGTAAGATATTCATTATGAAAAGTATTATATTTTTTCTTCATAACTTTTTATTTTTGTATATTTCAAACATATAGCTTTTTTTTATTATTTTACAAAATATATTTATTTATTTATATAAAAAAAAAACCATAAATCACATTTAAAGTAAATTTGTTTAATCGCTTCTAATGAAAAAAATACATTTTTTAAATTTCAATTTGGTGGATATGTCACAAAAAAAAAAATTGTTAAGAAATAAACCTTGATATAGATTCTAATCATTAAAAAAAAACCTAATATATTGGTTATTAGAACTCAAATCAAAGTAATAGTATAGATAAAAGATCATACTTATTAGAATACTGTTTACCTATATGTTTAGAACATGTTGAAGATCAAAAAGAAGAAGGTTTGGAGATAACTTTTAAAGAAAAATCTGTTAATTTTTCAATTCCTAAGGATGAAGATGATAGTGTTGATGAAACTAATGAAAATACAATCATTGGAAGTTGTATGTATAAATAGTTTATTGTAATTAGGGCTTTAGAGATTTCATCACTTAAACTATTTTCTACTACTACTACTACTACTACTCATAATAATATGTAGATTGCTTTATAATAATAGATATAAACAGACAGAGTGATCTTTCAGATGATATAATGTAAATATTTATTGAAAAAGTGGTTAAATATGTCAAATGTGCTATAATATGCATAATTTTATAATTAATAAAATAATTTATATTCAAAAAATGATTGTAAAAAATAAAATAAATACATGCATTAAGTGATTACAACATAATCTTCTCCAATCTCCACTATTCAAATATTAATATTAATATTTTCAAATTTAATATATCTGAAATTCTTGGAAAACAATACAAATAGACAAAATAGTTAAAATTTAAGAGGACACTGCACCAGTATTTGTAGTCCACATCTATCAAACGAGTAATATAGCATAAATGTGTTTTCGTATTTCTAATTGTAGGTTCTATTAGACCTAATATACATTTTTTCATTAAATTAATGATAACCACATTTACTATGTTTTAACCTGATTTTTTTTTAAATTTTCATTATCAAAAAATTGTTTTATAAGTTTTCAAGTAGGTATGATATTAAAAAAGACAGATATACTGCGCATGATAGGGGGGAAACTGTTGTTGGTGAGAAGTTGGGAAGGTTAGAGACATTTAATGTATTTTTGTATGCTACAAACATTGCTAACGAAAAACGATTGTGAAAGGGTTTGGTTTTACATGTTTTAAAAGTGCATAATATTTATCCCCTTCAGTAACTTTAAAAACAATTTTACCCTATTTTTTTAGTGACATCTTAATGTCTCAAAGTACCATATTACAAAAGAATTGAAAAAAAAAAAAAAAAATTGAAAAACTCAAATACTTAAAATATGGTGGTTTTCACATTTAAAAGGTGGTTTCAATAAAACACCACTGCAACTCAACAGGTTATGATTTTCATTAAATTTTGATATTAAAATTCTTTTATAAAAAAATATTACATTAAACTCAACTTATAATGAAACTCCTGATAAATTTTCAAGTTTCTGTTTGGTTAATAATTTTATTTATAGAGTATCAAATAAATATAATGTAAAAAGCCCTCGAAATTAAAACTTCTATAAAGAGTTCAAAAATGGATTAAATGTTTTAAACATTTCACCACGTTTGTAAAAGTCAAATATAAGGTGTTTGTTGAAAATTCAAATCTCTACAAACATTTTTAACCAAATTGCACAACAAATCAAAATTTAAATAATAAAAGTATTATTTTCATATATTTTCCTTTTTTCCCAATTATATTGAATACTGCTTCTATAAATAATATAAAAATAACCTTTCTAGAGTATTACTCTAGGAAAATTTCCTTTCAGAAAAAATGTCACACTTGAAAATCGGAGCAAGATTTCTGGTAGAATTTTTGTAACAAAACTATAGAAAAAATTAGTAAAATACAAAATAAACATCATTGTAAAATCAATATATTCTTTACATTGATTAAAATCTAAAATGTCTTTGTGAAAACATTGTATATTTACAATTCTTTATTTTGATGTAGTTAAAACAGAATTTAAACAAGTGCATAAGTTTTCTTAGGGAGATTTTCAGTTAAGAAGATTTTAAATTGCATGGTATTGCAATTTGGATACAGTGCCTGCATTCAAAACCTTTGTTTTCTTTCTATAATATTATGAAGTGTTAATTTTTTTGATAATGGAAAATTTAATGCAAATTTATAATCGTTGATAAACAAGTTTTTTCAAAAAATAATAGTTTGAAAATCGCGAGGTGTTTAACTAGATTTGCTCATACTATTTTATCCTGAAATCAGGTTTGGCCCAGTAACACATAACTTTTATAATTATAATTACTTGGTTTATAATAGATCAATATGTGTGTAATCTTCAACTTAAATTAATTAACTAAATAAATTTTATATTATGTTTCATATTTAAGCCAAAGATGAGCATAGCAATGGTGATGAAAAGATAGATCATCTCATTGAAGATAACAAACAAATTGAAGAAGACTTTGAAGAAATCCCAAAAAAGAAAGGGAAACCAACTGTTCGAAAAAAAGGTAAATATTATTTTTAATAATTAATGTACATATTTTATTTGTTTAATTATATATTTGAATCATTAATTTCTGATAGGAAAAAGAGGACGGGCAAAACAAACTACTGTAATTAAACAGGAAAGTAAAAGTAACACGGAAGAAAAAGTAAAAAGGACATACAAACCTCGTCAAAAGAAAGGCAAATATTATTATTTTGTTGTATTTAATATATTATAATACATTTTAATTTGTATAAATATTTTATGCACCTTCAACAGTTGTTACTATAGCAGAGGAAGTAATTATTTTACCAGAGCCAGCTGGTGATGATAATATACGTCGGTCTAGACGTATTGCTGAGATTAAAATCAAAGAACAATTTTCTCCAATTGCACAATATGATGATGTTGATATTCCACTAAAAAATCCAAAGAAAAAAGATAAAGGTGGAAAGAAAGGAGGGTATACTTCTAAAATGGTACGTTTTAATTTAAATGCCTTTCTCTACTAACTGCTACCAAAAATATCACGTTAAATGCATTTACCAAAGATTTGATTTTTTAAATTTAAGTGGAAAAAAAGACTGATTTGCATGTTGGGTGGGCCACTTTATGGGTGAGAATTTAGGAAGGTAGGATATAGAGGGGAATTAAATTTATATCTGTACACAACATTAAACCATTGCTAACAAAAAATGATTCGGAGGGAAGTTTATTTTATATATATATACATAAATTTTAATTTTGTTAAAGTACCAGCCAGATTAAATTATTACAATTGAATACCGGAACAAGATTTCTGGTAGAAAAGTTGTTCACAGATAAAAAAAAAAAACATTGTTAAATAAATACATTCCTCACTATGCTCCGAATCTAAAATAATTTTAAATTTAATAACTTAATTTTTATTGATAAGAAATATATAAAATAAATTAAATTTTAAAATTTAAATTGTTTATTAAAGGTTATTAGATTTATTACACATTCTAATTTGGGTATGTTTTTTTTATTATTTTTTATTTATTTTGAAGTATATTAAATAAAAAAGTTTTTACTGAATTTTTAGATGTGTTATTAAAATGAAAATATAAATATTTGTGCACTTGAATTTTTATAAATATATTTTTTTAAATAGTCAAATACTTTTGAAAAAGTATGTATTTTATATTTTAGTTTTTAAAGGTGCATCTGAATTAAAACAATTATTATTATTGTGATAACTAGTAACAATAAAAATATACCCTAAAAACCTATTGAATATGTATGCATCTATGTCATACAAATTACCAAAATATGACCTAAAAAACAAAATATAAATAAAATTAATAATAAATTCTTATACTAATTTATTTTAATATTTTAGACTTTTCGTACTTTATACTGTAAAGGATTTATACAAAAATTATTTAAGTGAAACAAAGTAATAAATAATAAATATCTAAAATTTGGATACTAAGTATATTATCAGCTTGCCTGTTGAATGCTGATATTTATAAATCTTGAATAATTATTTTGTGATTCTCGATTTGACGAGTTGAAAATATCTTATAAATTTATAAAATCCTTGAAATATGCTCTTAGTTGAGTTGACATAAAACATTGTAGACTTTAAATATGTTTATATATTTTACATAGATTAAAAATGCTGATGAATCTGACAATGACGATGAAGATTTAATTTCAAAAAAGTTTAAAAAAAAAAAGAGAAAGGGGAAATCAGATTCACATAAAAAGATCAACCCTAAAAGTCCTTGGACTGGAGATTCTGAGTCTAGGTATGTTTTTAATTAATTTTTTTTTTTTATAAATGATCTTTATAGCATATTTGTTGCATAGTGATAGATTTTACATTGATTTATAACAGAGGAATAAAATTTAAATTATTATATACAGTTCTAATACATTAGAATCTTTTAGAAATTCTATTATTAGGTTTTTATATAATTTTTTTAAATTAAACTTTTTATGAATTGAATATTGTTCTATGGTTGTGTGATTTGTTTGTCTATTGATATTACACCACATAATTGTAATTGTTTAATAAATTATCTAATGAATCTTTAATATTATAGTACTGTTTGGCATGATTTAATAAAAGTCCATAGTTTCATTTGATAATATTACTTAACATAGAAAAAAAACATTTTTTAGTACATACGAGGTCTGGCTATTAAATAACGAGACTGCTTATGAAAAATGGTTTTATTTTAAAAATTATTCCACAATCAAATGTTCCCCTTCAATATAGACCATTCAGGAGTTCCGCCGGTTTTTGTTTCACATCTTCCATCGACTCAAACCGGATTCCTTTTTAGGCAGACTTTATCTTCGGAAACAAGTAAAAGTCGCAGGATGCCAAGTCGGGTGAGTAAGACGCGTGTTCGAGTACTGGAGTGCCTTAAGCGGCCAAATAACGCTTTACAGACAGCGCGTTATGGGCAGGTGCGTTATCCTGGTGCAAGATCCACGACTTGTTTTTCCACAATATCGACCGTTTCTTATGAACTCATTCGCGCAATATTGCCAAAACTGTCAAATAGTAATGTTGGTTCACAGTTTGACCCTCTGGAACCCATTCAGTCATCACGATGCCGTTGATATCGAAGAAAACGATCAGCATGGTTTTGAATTTGGATTACGACTGAATTGGATTCCGGTGCACTCTTGACCTTCAGAAAATAATTTATGCTACTCAAAAACACGCGCCCGAGATAGGAAATCCTCACTATAGGCCTCTTTTAACAACTTATAGCACTCAGTTGGAGTTTTTTTTATTTTAACAAGAAAATTTTACTTTTATCCGTTGCTCATGTTTTTCGTCATACATCGTTTTCGGCAAGAGAAAAAAACATGTTCGTTTCTAAACGCTACAAAAAAAAATACTAATGCACTAACTAAAACCCAATTTTGTACTGGCATAATAGACACTTCCAGCTAACCAGCGCTCTATTCAGTTTTCTCCTAATCTTTTTGGAATGCTTTTTGCGCGCGCAGTCTCGTTATTTAATAGCCAAACCTCGTAATTGGACATTTTAGATACTGTTATCAAAATGAAACTGTTTAAGGGAACTATTTATTTAAGATATTTTCCTTCTGTAGTAAAAATATTGCTTTTTGACTGCTGAGTTTATATATTGTTTTAACATAAAAAGGACTGCATTTGCATAGATTTACATCATTTATGTTGATATTTGATTCTGATGATGAATTTTCCGCTTTATACAAAAAACACATACAACTAACATAACTTTAAGAGTTTATAACTTCTGCTTTTGAAACTAATGTTGCAAATATTAATATTATTTAAATTATTATTATTAAGAGTATATTTGTATTATATGTTCAAGTATATATTTTAATATTAAATAAAATGTTTATTTATAAAATATCATATGTTTAAAAAAATAGCTCTTCTGAAAATAACATAGAATTATTTGAAGACTATGATCATGAAGAAGAGGATGAGATTCCAAGACCTGGAATTGAGCCGAATGTGTCAGACCATGAATTTTCTCCAGAGTCTGATATTAATGATGACGATGAAGAGTATTTGCCTGAAAAAAGAGCACGTACTGCTCATAAAAAAGGTTATTATTATTTACTTAAAATTATAATGTGTACTGTTTGAACAACAACAAAAAAAAAAAAAAAATTTGTTTGCTGTTTTTATATTATCACTTATTGTTTTACTTATTTGAGTAGACCAAGGAGAACAGTTAAAAGATGATATGTCATGTCAAAAATGTCACAAAAGTGATCAGCCTGAGTGGATTTTATTATGTGATACTTGTAACCAAGGATGGCATGCATCTTGTCTACGTCCTGCTCTTTTGGTGATCCCAGATGGTGATTGGTATTGTCCACCTTGCAGACACGTAAGTAAATTTATATTTAATGCTATTTTGTCAATTGTACTAATTATTTTACAATTACCTGTAACTCACTGTACAGGAAGCTCTGTTGAATGGGTTAAAAGAGACTTTAAAGAAATTTGATGGAGAATCAAAAAAACGTGAAAATGAAGAATTGAGACGTAAACGGTTGGCATATGTGGGAATAAGTCTCCAAAATGTTATATCTTCAAAAACTGAAGAGGGTAAAATTGAAAAAAAACCTGTAGAACATGAATCATCAGAAGATGAATCTTCAGAATCTGAGTCTTATGACTCAGAACCATTGTACCAGTTAAGAGCACGGCGACAGGCTAATGTTAGTTATAGTTTTAATGACTATGATGACATGATAAATGAAGCAATATTAGTAAGAGCAAAAAAAAAAAAAAAATAGTCTTAGAATAAATGTTAAAACAATGCCTATTTCAGGAGACTGGTGTTGATGAATCTGTAGTGAAGTCTGTTGAAGTAAAACCAGATAAAAACGATAATGATGAAAAGACAGATTCTGATAATGATGATAATACCAGAGAGGATTCGCCAATTGCACCAGCTCTATTGCATTTAAGGGGACGAAAAAAATCAAAAAAGCTCACCAATCTAGATATCAGTTCAGATGATGGATCAGATGAAGACTTCAAAGGACCTTCGTTAGTTTAAAAATACAATTTAATTTTTGTTTTTATATAATTTTTAAAAAAAATGATTCTTATTTTTAGTGATGGGGACGATGACTATGAGGAAGAATTGAGTGAATACAGTGATGATTCGGTTAAACGGCCACAGCCAACTAGACGATCGGTACGGAACCGAAAAACTGTAGTAGATCCTGACTTCAGTAAGTTACAACATTTGTTATTACTTTAAAACTTTTAAGGATCAGTTAAAGTTGAATTAAATTTTAAATTTTGTTCCCAATCTATATCTTTTCTTATTATTGAAATATTTAAAAATATTAACTAACACTTTACATTTAAGAAGACATCAAACCGGCATTTACTCGTACTGTTTATCTACAGAGTGATTTTTTTCATCATGAACCAGTAATTTTATAGATTTTATGTGAATTTGATTTCTGGTTTTTTTGATCATTATAGAATCATTTAAGCTTTATTTTAAAACCATTTTTAGTTTTTACCCCTACTCCAAATACCTTATATAGGTACATACTTTTGATTTTCAAATAGGAACCCCCTCCATTTGATCACAGATTTAAATAGAGAATATTTTTCTAATCATTTTTATATGCATAACACCTAGTATCAAAAAAAATAAAAACAGGTATCAAATTCACTTAAAAATCTCAGAGATAATTGCTGGTTCATAATAAAAAAAATCACCTTGTATATAGTGCAATAGTCTATTTTCCGGCAAAATTTTACAAAAACATATCCTTCATAATAATATATTGTACAAAGTATTATTAATATCATTAATAATTTATTTATAGTTAATGATGATTCAAGTGAAGATAGTGACCACCGGTCTAAAAAATCAAAAAATTCTAAAAAAAGATCAAGACCATGGTCAGACTCTTCAAATAGTGAAGAAGATGACTCCACATGGGGAAAAAAGAAAAAGAAACGTACAAACATACCTTCATCATCATTGTCCTTGAAATATCCTAAGAATTCAAAAAGAAAACAAAGTGAAAATGACAGTTTCCAAAAACCTAAAAAGTCTAAGGTATATAATATATAATATTACAGATATTAATATATTAAATTAAGTTAGTGTTACTTTCTTCTTCTTAACTCTTTATCTTTCTAAAAGTTAATGTTTCTTTCTTAATGTTATTGTTCAATACATGAACATATCAGGGTGATTCACTCAACTGGAAACACTCATTATCTCGGAAAGTATTAACTTTTTTAGAAATTTTTTTGTTTTGAAAACTTAAGAATCAAATAGTTCTAAAACCTTACGTTATCATTTTTTTTTATATCCCTTATTTTTGGGGGTAAAATACTACTTTTGATTTTTAAATAGACACCTATTTTTAAAATGCGTTTATTCAAAATAGATGGAGTATTATTTAAAATACTTTTTGATGTTGAAATTTTTGATTTCCGTCAACCCGTTGACAAGGTATTCCACTTTTAAGTTTGGGTTGGAAGAGAGTAGTGGAGTATCATTTGTGTGATGGTACGGTGCGCGGGGTATTAATAGTAATACAGTGATTATCATAGTAACATTTATACGGTAATTACCGTAAATATCAAAAATATATTACTACCAATGGTAATAAATACCAGTATGTTTTATTACCTGTAGTTCCAACTGTTAGTATTTTCTATTTACTGTAAATACCATCAGCTCTTTCTTTCTTCTAGGTTTAGTATCCTTAAGTTTTGGCTTAACGCGTTGAACTATCACTTCCTTGGTCAATCCCATAGTCTTTTTTCACCTGGTTGATATTCTATAGCTGCTCTAATAGTGTGTCTGAATCATTGTAGTCATTGTGCTTAAAGAAAATTGGTTATTTTGGGGCTGTAGACTTGTTCAGATTTCAGCGTTTGTCCTTTTTGGCCAGCACTCCAAATTGGTGTTGTATACTGCACCGCAGATCTTTGTTAATATTTTATTTTTAAAAATATTACCCTTTTCTCCATGTTATCATACACATCTCACATCCATATGTCAGCGTCGGCCTGACTGCAGTCATATACAGCTTTATCTTAATTTTTCTCTAGAAGAACTTGCATTTCAAAAATTGTAATTATGCATAATAAGCTTTCTCTGCTTAGGTGATTTTACTATTTCGGCACTCCAGTCATTATTTCCCTTGGCGGTGGTTCCAAGATATTTAAACTGGTCTAATTTTTCAAAAACCATTCATTCCACTGTAAAGACTTTGTGGTTGTTTCTCAATAACTCCATTAATTTTGTTTTTTCTTTATTTTTCAATTGTTGATTTGCCTTTATGAAAACTACATTGGTATTCTCCGATACACTTCTCTGTTATGTATTGCAATCGTTTTAACAATGTTCTCAAAAACACCTTGTATACTGTATTTAGCAGTGCAAAGTCTTTGTAGTTGTTATAATCTAACTTGACTCTTTTCTTGCATAATGGAATAATGATGGCTTTTTTCCAGTCCTCTGGAAGCTTTTCGGTTCATTTTTGGAGTTCCATCAGTTTTGTTATTTTCACCAAGCTCTGGGTTCTCTGATATCTTCACATTAGGCAGTTTTCGGAAGTACCCATGCACCTACCTATTTTTTTACTGCTATTAATATCCTTGTTTCTTAATTTTTGTAAAAAATTTCACTCCCTACCCTAGCATAATCATGTTCTTTACTACACAGTAAATCGTTTATATACTTTCTTTTTTTTCTCTGTAAAGTCCTTTTAAGTCCTGCATTCTAGTTCAAAGAGTTTTGCTTCTGGGGTGTTGGATTTAAGATAGATTTAGCAAACATCCCTCCTTATGCACTTCTATACTCTGCATTAAACCATTTTCTTGTTTGGTATTATGATACACTCGATGTATTTTTTGTTGCTTTAATAATTATTTCCCTATTTGGCTCCCAATGACATTCAACACATGATTTGCATGTATTTAGTTCTTCGTCTATTTTTTTAGTGCAGTTCTTCCTTCTGTTTCATGTGTTAACTGTTTTATATTGAACTTCTGCATTCTGTAATATTACATACATATATGTAGATATAGTTAGTGTTACTTTATGGATGATTATATAATAAAACTTATTATTTTATTTTTGTTTATTTTTGTTTATTGTTTTATTTGTTTCAGATCAAGTATGGCATGGATTCTGATTCAGGTTCAGGTGGACTAACCAAAAGAAGAACTAGAGGACGACAAATCACTTATGCTGAATCTGATGATTCTGAAGAGGTAAAATTATTTTATGACTTTAGAAAAACATATAGAGTATGATAAAACTAATGTAAACAATTTTTTCTTTAGGAAATTCAACCAAAAAAACGTAAAATAGTTAGTGATGAAGAAGATGAATATGTTTTGAATGATGAAGAGCTGGAAGCTGAGAACGAAGACCACAATATGGAGATTGATGATGGAGATACTGTAGCTAGTAATGAGTTAAAGGATGAGGAAGAAGAAGAAGAAGAAGAAGAAGAAGTAGATGATGAAGTGATTGAAGACGAAGATGATGAAGAGGAAAATGACAATGACGAGAAACCGTCTTTGGTGCCACCACAACACACAGCTGAAAAGTCACCATCATTAGATGTCCAATCAGTTATCACAGAATCTCCGGCTCCAACAGTGCTGGTGCCTTTAGAAGGTTCTATAGCATCTGATTATAATTTACATCACCCTGCACACCAACGATTGTTGCCCTCAACCGACAACATTAAAGTGGAGTCACCACGATTTTCATTAGTTGGAACACCAGAAAAGCGAAAAAGGCCTCCACATCAACTGAAGAAACTTCCATCCCCAAATCCTCATTCAGATTATAGTGATAGTGGTAGTGGTTATCCTTATATTCCAGATGCAACTAAAGTGGTGTCGTCCTCAATCTCTTCTATACAAATTGGGTATAGTGGACCCCCTCTTCAAGAAAGTTCAGCTTCTGTGGCAACCTCAGTCTCGGGTGGATTCAAGTCAATGACTGCGGTGCCACTACCTCCTGGTGGTTTTCCAATTACTTCTCCTGCACCATACCGATCTGCTAATAAAGTCACTGCAGAATCAGTTGCAGTGTCTACATCACAATCACCTACATACCTATCACCTCAAGTACAACAAGTGTATCAGACACCGCCACCAGCCAATTATTCACCATATCCTATTGATTATGCAACAACTACTGCACCATTGCCACCACCTCCTTCAACGGTTGCGTTTCGAAATGTGGCTGCTGCACCACCTTCGTCTCAAGAACATCCGCTGCTGCATACTACACAGCAATCTGCTGGAGTAACTGCAGGTGGAGACAGTGAATTTGGTGGCCTTGTTTCATACTTTTCCAGTCAACAAGAGGATGATTTTGACACATGATCTCTCTACGGTCTTCACCATTGCCTTCATATTATTTTATAAATCCCTTTTTGGAGCTCTTGTTTGTTCCAGCCCATTATTTTCATCACAAATTTCAATTTATTATTTTAAATAGCCAACTAGTTCCCTGTTATTATACTTGTTTTTTTTTTTTTTAAATTTATACTTCCCAATGAAAAGTGATTTAGATGGAATACTAGTTATAAATATAATTGAGCATTAATTGAATAATTGAAAAAATAAATAGCTATGAAATAACTTTGTCTGGAATGGTTGTGTTTTATGTACAACCAGTTTTGGTTGTAATTAAAGTATTAAAAATTCTATATAAGCTAGCCTTTAAAGGTTGAATTTCGGAAACTCGGCATTCTGGTGGCTCATTGACTTATTCGTCCATCATGTATACATTTACAGACTTCTGTGAGTAATAGATTTAGCTGTAGATTATGTACACATAGACACTTACTTTTATTATTTTAGATACCTGAATTTTTTTTTTATATTCAGTCGTGTAAATATTTTTACTTTTTTACTGATGATTTTTAAAATTGAAACTGGTCGTAAATAAAACACAACTCATAATATTTCAGGTCGTTTTTTTTAAAAATATAATAAAGTAAAATTAAAATGGTTAATACTTGTAAATAAATGAAGTAAATAAATATAGTAAATAAATATATTAATAACTATAATACACTTATCATAATACTCCAGGCGACGTATTGATTCATTTATTTATTTTATTTTTATATATACATTTTTTATTTATATATTAATTTACTATATTTATTTATTTTATATATTATATATTTTAAATATTTATTTTAATAAAAATGCATTGACATTTATGTTGAAATAATTTGTTCATACTATATATTTTTTGAAAAATTTAAATTCTTATCATTGTTATACAATAAGATAATTGCATTGTGCTGCTAAAAGAGACCTTATTTATTTATGGTTTTGAGTGTTGGTTGAAATTTTTTTTTTACAATGCCTTCATTTTTATATTTAAAACAAAATGTATTTATCATCGGACTATTTATAGGCTCCTAGCCAAATATTTTTATTATTTTTTTTTTTTACTTCTTCTTTTCTCCTTAACTCCAATAAAAACTTAATTTTTGCTAATAAACCAGCAGAAAAAAAAAATTGCTTATGTGTAATATTTATATGTACAAATTAATATTTTAAAATACATTTGATATGTAAATTATGTGTAGTATTGTATTATTAATTTATATTTTGATTGAGTTTTATGTTTTTGAATACACAATATTTATGTTATTTTTTTTATGATTATTGTACTTTCATAATATTAATAAATTATAGATTATTATTTATTTAGTATATTATATTATAATGTATTTATTAAATACAAAACATTTAATAATATTTACATAGCGTTTTGAATGAACAAAATATTAATATAACATTTAAGTTTTAGTTTTGTATAAAATTATATTAATTACTAAGAAATTTGAGAGCTGTACTTGAAAACCATAAATATTTTATTTGTAAGTAGGAATTATATATATAAAATCTAGAATTATATGTGCTTGTTATTTATTTTCATACAAATATATCCTAAGGATTTCAACTTTCCGATCAAAAATATATGTCTCACTTTAACTTATAGTGTGTATTGAGGTACAATATTGTTTTGTACAGGACATAAATAAGGTTATTTTATTTATATCTCTAAGTAACGATAAACTATTGCTTGATGAAAGACGATTCCGAGCGTAGTTCAGTAGTGCATAATTTAAAGTGCCGTAATTTTGTTTGTGATTTTCGTATAAAACTGATTTCAAATCGCTAATGAAAAAAGGAAGTCCGGTAATTTTGAAAATTTTACCACGTCTAGATAAGTCCAATAAAGGTGTTATTACCGAATTATAGCAAAAACTCCAAAAAATTAAAAATTCCTTAAAAGTTCGAAAAGTTTTGGCCATGATACCGTAAGAAAGTAAATCAAAAAGGCAACAAGAAAGGTGTCTTATGATTTTTCGATTAAATCATTTTTTCTGGTAGAAAACGTCCGTGTTTTTAAAAAAATAACGAAATCGTGAAATTGTACGTTTTCCTACGTTTTATCTCACTTAAGTGCTTTTATTTAAAAACGGCATTGAAAATCAAAAAATAACCCCTCTAAAGTACAATCCGGACAACTTGAGCTTTCGGAAAAGTGTTACACTTATTCATCGGAGCAAGTTTACTAGGAAAAAAAACGTGTCCACAGACTAGAATAAAAGAGAAACAAAAAAAAAAATAAACATTTTCGTAAAAACCGATAGCTCATTCGCTACGCTCGGAATCTAAAAGACGTCCTAGGATAACGGGTGACGGTTGCGGCCATTGTTATTGGTAATTTGTAAACCAACGATGAACCATTACTTACGAGAACCCGGTTCAGAGCCGAGTTCAGTTGATAGTGATGCTTCGTCAACAATATATACGTCATTTTATAGTAAAATAATTAAACAGGCTTTATATATATTTACTTTGATAAAAGTAATATATATGTATATATTTAATGTTGTACCGATTTTCCCAGTTTTCCTACTTTTTCTCCGTGGTGTCAGTCTCGGTTTTTCACATTTGTTGGGAAAATCTTCAAACAACTTCTCTAAAGTGCGTGCCCGGTGAAATTTACTTTTAGAAAAATTGCTATCATTAAAAGCTGGAGCGAAATTGACGGTAGAAAAGTTGTCCACGGGGAAAAAAAAAAAAAAAAAAAAAAAAAAGGGCCGTAATATTATACAAATATATTTCGTACATTTTCCACATTTTTTTTTATTTTCAGGTTTTTGCATTTGACGAGAAAACTCTTGTGACAATCGAAAAATGACCTCCTCGAAGTACATCCCGACACGTTTAAGAAAGAGTGCCACACGTAAAAATCGGAGCAAGTCCTCTGGTAGAAAAGTTGCCGACAGAAAAATAATAATAAATAAACATCGTTGTAAAACCTCGCTCTACTCAAAATCTAAAATGTGGAGACCAAAGGTAAATATTATACTCGTACATGTTTGCTGCGTTTGAAATTATAACTTGAACAGTAAAAACAAAATATTGTATTCTTATAAACTTCTAGTCTTGGGTATTTTACATTTTCCAGTGAAAAAAAAAAAAACCTACATGAAATTCAGATTCGGGTCTGAAGTTTGAACGGTGTTTTCGTAATAAAAAAAAAAAAAAAAAAAAAATACTAATACAAAACACCATTTGAAACGGCAAAAAAAAATGATATTTATAAATAATATACAACTGTTTTTTTTTTTTTATTTTTTTTATTAATTTTTAATATATATATATTTTTTTTTTTATATATTTATATATAATTATAATCGCTTAATTATTATTATAAACATAAATATATATTTTAGAAAATAATACATCGAGATTTTGTTTTTTGTTTTTTTTTTGTTTTTTTTTTTTTTTTTTACATACAAAATTGGATATTTATAATAGTGTAGGCATATAGCGTATGCTATATGCACGCTGAAACACAAATAATATTATAAATTTTTTTTAGGCGTAATATTGTTTTGCAAAGAATTAAACACAACAAAGTACAAGTATACAACACCTATCTAAAAAAAAAAAAAACATCACAATACACCAAAAAAAAAAAAAAAAAAAAAAAAAAAGAATGTTCATTATGAGAATATAGAGAATATATATATATAGTTTATAATATTTATCGTTAAATATTCTTAAACCGTAATAATTTAAAAACACAATGAGCTAAAAAAATTGTATTAATTACAAGCGAACACTTCGCTTTTTAAATTCTTTAATTTGCTTACGAGAAAAAAAATATATAATAATAATAATAGAATAATTGTATTATAGAATTGCACATTTATATTATATATAATGGATACATATATATTAGCACGCGAAAAAGACTGGAAACAAAACAGCTTTAAAAAATAAAAATAAAAATGTAAATATTATATATAGGTAGGTACGTTTTAATAATAATAATAATAATAATAATAATAATAATAATAATATTAAACATCAATCAAAAACTTAATGTGAATATTAACAAAGAGGTATACCAATTTATTTAGAGTAACAAAAAAAAAAAAAAGTTAAAAATAATACTAATCGCATCTGTTTATTGTTGTTATATACAATTTAATTGTAATTAACTACGAAAAAAATTCTCTGGGCAACTTGTTCAAATCCGTTATAAAAAAAAAAAAAAAAAAAAAACATAAAATGGGTAACTTAATAAAATTATAATAATTAAAAAAAAAAAAAAAAAAAAAAAAAAAAGGTCTTAAAGGTTTTAAAAGTTCCTTTTTTTTTTTTTCTTTTAGTCGATGGCAATTTCTATTCATACGCTTTTAACCTTAAATAGTAGTAAAAAATAATAATAATAAAATAAAACCAACAAAACACGGTAACTCGTCCTGTGTGCAAGCATCTCTACTGCTGCTGGTGTGAGCGTCAACTCACCGTATACGCGTCCACGCCCAACAGCTGTTTGAGTTTGTGGTCGTAGCGGACCAAAATTATTTGGTCGCCGGTCGGGGCGGCCCCGGCGGCCGGCGCACCGTCTTCCGCGGCCTCGGGAGCTTCGGCCGCGTCCGTCGCCGCCGCGTCTTTCGGCGTCGACTGTTCCGCGGCGACGAACGGTTTCGCGTCGGAACATTTGGCAACGACCCGCTGCTGCTGCTGCTGCTGCTGCCGCTGGCCCAAAGTCAACGCGGGCACCACGCGCTCGTTGAACCGGTCCGACGGCACGGCGATCACGGCGTTCTCGTCGTCCAGCAGTTTGGCCAACGCGTCGACCGACTCGACGGACAGTGCCGTTGACACGTACTCGAACAGCACCCAATCGTCGGGCACGGCGTCCGGGGCGTCCGCGGGCATCTTGTAGACGTCGGGCAACGATTGGTCGGAGAATTCGAATTCGAACGACACGCTGTTGTCGTCGGGCGCCGTCGGAGGCGAACACCACAGTAGCCGGTCAACGTCTTCGTGGTCTCCTGCAAACACGCAACCGGCATTCGTACGTAAGATTATTGTTTGTCGCGAGCGACGATACAAATGATCGGCATGGCCGAGATTCGCTAAAACGCGTTTACGTTTTCGGGCCGAACTAACGATTTCCGCGGGCATCCCAGTCGACGGGCCGAGGCGCGGCTACAAAGCTACTGGGGAGGGGGGGGGTCCGTGGCGCCCCCCGAGTCCGAAAAACGCGGCGGAGCGAAATACATTTCAAGAGGCCCCCGATAATAACGCGGCCCATTTTCACGTCCGAAATTGCGCGTTAGTTAGCGTAGGCTTTTATCGCTGTAACGAAGCGAACATTATTAGGTACATACTCGTTCGCGGTCTGGCGGCCGAACTCCGGGCCGAAACGAAGCGGCCCCGCGCTCGATTTCAAAACAAGCGGGGCCAAGGCTCGGCCTTAAACTACGCGCGGCGCGCAGGGACGGCATCGTGTGTACGGGCGTAGAGGTGACCGTTGCCGCGCAAACATCGAATGTAAAATATTATTATAACCGCGCTTACGTATCAGTGACGTGTCGTCGAAATTCCACATGGCCGAGGGCCCGAAGCCTTGCACGTCGTTGACGTGATGTTCCAGCAGCATTCGGGTCTGTCTGTCGGTGGCCAAGGACAGCGGCGATTGTCCCGAGTACGTGGCCAAACGGGGATCGGCCCCGTAACCGAGCAACAGGCGCACCAAATGAACGTCGCCGTTTTCTACAGCTTCGTGCAGGGGCCTGGAAAGAAAAAAAAGAAAAAGTGCCGTCAATTTGTACCGGACGGCCGTTTCGCAATATTTCGCATTTCCGATCGTCGTCGTCGCCCGAGAGCATTTGAGGGGGGGGGATCTGTGCAACAGCGAGATAACTCTACTTTTCACAACTGTTCCGGGAGACGGAAAAAAAAGTTTTAGAAATATTGTATTTACGATAAAATTTATTTTAAAATCCATTAGACAATGGTAAAAAAACATTTGATTTGATATTCATAATTACTCTGAGATGAGAGCTAATATCAAACTAAATTTTATGGAGTTGTCTGGTTTTTCGACCAGAAATTTATATTTACATTGTTTTCATAAATTGTTTCCATACTAAGAAACGGGTAAAAAAAAATACCAGACAACTTCTTTTGCATCATATCTCCCATACGGATGGTCGGATTTATCTCGTTCTTATGCAGATACATTCGCAATTTTTTTTCTTAGTTTTAATCCGTCGAAATTCCATTTTTGAAAAAAAAAAAAAAAAATGGAGTTATCTCATTATTGAGTTTTCATTTTCCGGTATAGGTTTACGTATAAGTGGCGCGGAATTTAACCGTTACGGGATAAGTAAACGAAAATGCCGAAGTACAGGAACGTCCGAGTTACTACTAATTTATAGCGACAGGTTTTACGGGTTGTGTTACGCGGTTTTTATTTTACTATTTTACCGAAACGACTTTCTAGAAGAAAAAAAAACTTCACGCCATCGGCGGTATATATGCTACGGTTAATGTTGAGCATTTGATAACTTCAACTTTTCGTCCAACAAAACCGATTGTTTTCGCGCTGTTAGTTTTTGAACAACAGCGAATCGGCAAACTTCAAGACGAGAATAATTTCTGTGTTTGTACGTCGGTATTTTCAAAGTTTTATTAAGATACGAGAGAGCGAAGTATAACAATTTAAAAGACTTTGTACATCTCGTTTGAAATTTAAAATATCGGAGAAAAACCAACGCGAAAACAAAGACAATGTTCTAACCATTAGTAAGTCTGCAGCAGATATGAAGCCGATTCGACAATAGGACATTATTCGATTTTAAACATTATTATATCATCATAGAATCTTTTTACAAACTCCCGTTCCCGAACATAGCCTCCGTTCACCACCCCCCCAGAGGTAACACGTCCGGATAAATCGATCGGAAATTCAATGCGGGCCCGACAGGAATCGTAAGTAGCCGGGACAAACACGAAAGTATAATGTAAACTTTATACAGTATTATAGTATAACGTAGGAGGCATACGTTCGGTCGGTTAGTGCATACGAATGACGTTTTTTTTTTTTTTTTTTTTAAGTGTTTATACGTATAGCGTTTACGATGCGTAATATCCGGAAACGCGTGTCGCGTTCTTACTTCCAGGCGAAAACATCGAAATCCGCCGAAACGGCGCCGCGACCGGGACAAAATTATTTTTCAAACGAGTTCAGCGGTTACAGTATACGGTATAGTTTCCGCTTCTGCCGGAATCGCAGATTGCCCGCGGGAATACGCGGGAAACAATAAAGTGGGCGGCGGCGGCGGCGGCGGCGGTACCTGTGCAGACGTTCGGCGGGAAAACGTTTTACGCCCGCCCGTCGAAACGACCGATTTACATTAAGCGCACATTATCATAACCGCGGGGCTCGTAAACTCGTAGCCCTAATAAAACAGGCCGTTCATAAGCGCAATCTGTACGCGCATCAAGAACGGCCGTACCGGCGCTAAAAACGATACGTCCAACGTGCGAAAAAATATCAACGATACCGGAACGCCTACGCGTAGGAACTATAACGGTAAAATACCGATAGCGCGCGATTCGGTGTACCGCAACATAAGGGTTTCCTTATCGACGGGCTGGGCCGCATTCGGATTCGCCGGGCCCCGGACAAGCGCACGTCTTGTAATGATCCGGGAAAACCGGTCCCGAGTACCCGAGTCCTGTCGATAGGTTTGCACGCGTCGAGTCGCGTCGGACGACGCTGCTGTAGAAAAAAAAAAAATAAAAACACGACACGAAGATCGAAGATTGGTAAGATCTCTTGGGAAAATCTAAAAATTACCTAGCTAAAGTACCTATCCAGTCAGATTTCCTTTCAGAATAGGTGCCATCGTTGAAAATTGGAGCAAAATTGCTGATAAAAAAAAAAAAAAAAAAAAAAAAAAA